CTACTGCCTGGGGTTTTGCCTAATTGCTTTTCCCACTAACTGTACCTCATGTTTAAATTATTCTCCTCCTCTTTGGGCCAACCTCCTTAGACTATTCTCAGTTTTTATGGAATCATGTTTAGTCAATCACAAACCAACAATGCTGGCTCTACCCAACCTTTCATATATCCCTATTGCCCCCAAATTCTCTCTCAATTAGGCTGCCAACACCACTCCATGTGCCACAAATGAACTAGCCATGAGAACCACCACCCGCTTACCTGCCCCTCTCTGTGCACAGTAGCAATAGGGTGAGAATGCCATGCCCGACTCTCAACATGCCACCCTCCACAAACAGGGAACCACTAACATGCCATTCCTTAGAATTATAACTTCATTTCCCAGCCCTATATAAACTCAACTTCTCCAGTCAGCTGCTGACGTAATTCACAATTTCAGCCTGTCTACACCTAGACAGCAATCAATCCAGTCTTTTTTCACATAAAAACTGTGTGTGGATGATTTCTCATGTGCAGTTAACATTTCCTTTAGGGCTCAACTAAAATTTCACTACTTGAGACTAGAAATTAGATATACCTATTGAAGTTTAATTGCTTAAGTGGGTAAAGTTTATTTGAAAGCACAAAGTTATCTTCCAGAAAACTGAAGATTTAATGTGCATTTAGTTAGTTCTGGAAGACTGCATACATTGTACACCTCTTGCTTATGAACTTATTCAACCATGAAATGTCATATTAAATCCCTGAACATGTCTATGCTTTATTCTCTACATTTAACGTATATGAAAGTATCTACGTATACTCTAATGACTGAAATAAGATACTAATATCTTATTGCTTAATCCAAGTACACTTTGCATTTTTTCCACCATATTAAAACAGAACTTCTAATGTCTCCAGGAACTGAGGCATGTAGTGCTGGGTGAGCAGCACAAGCCATGTGGGATGGTGAGAATGGAAGAGCCTAAGACCCGTCAAAGAGGACAACTGCTGACTAGGTACTAGTTGTTGTGTTTATATAGCAATCTCAACATACTGAGCTTCAACTTCTCTAAAGAACTTAAGTATCTTTCCTTTCTCCCTCTCACCCTCACTCCCCTGCATACTTGTGAAATACAGGCTTCCCAAAACTGACTCACGGGAGTCCAATTACAGGGGTCATGGTGTATCACTATTAAATGAAATCTTGCTAAGTATTTTGGATTAAAATGTTGACTTAATTTACAAGTAATTCGCAGATATGTTCTCATTTCCCTGTCGTTCCCATGAAGTAGGTGTCATGACTATAGTTTCAGTAGCCACCTGGTGAAAAGCACATTATACTATTAACATAAATTTCTCTAATGTTAAAAACTTTTCAAATGTTTATATGCATTTCCTGATCTTCATTGCCAAATTTTCTTAATTCACGAGTGCTTTCTAAGTGTTGTATTTGCTTTTCTAGCCTAAAAGTTGTATGGTCTTCTATATAAATTTTATATCAAAACTACCTTTTGTGATTTTGCAATTACTTTGTTGAGATGATGTCCTTTACTTTCTCAAACTAGTGTATCTTCTAATTGTGTTGTCAGGATTTTAAAATTGCTCTACATTTTTGCATAAAATGTTTTAATCCACATTTATAGCCAATTATTAACCATTTCAAGTTTAATGATTTAATTACTAAATTTGTTTTAGCATATGTTGCATTTCTGCACATGCTGCAATATACTTGCTACAACTTTGTGGCAGAGTACATTCTTTGAACAGAGAGGGTCATGCATTTAATCCCCAGCACTGCAAAACAACAACAATATTTTAAATAATCTAACACTAATACTGTACTACTTTCATATCTGTATTTTTAATTACATTAATAATTGCATAGTGCAAGTACTATCCTCATGCCTCTTCAGAAATGGCTTCATCTGTTTTCTCACATACTGCTCTATGAGTTTCAAAGTACCTTGTTAATTTCTAATAAATGTGGAATAGGTGTAATTTAAAAATAATAATTTTTACAATTCTAAAAGGTGGATCTTATTTTATATTAAATCTAGATTTTAGGTTATTCCATAAGATACTAATTTTCAGTTATGCTCTATGACTTTCTTGAAATATTTATGCTTACATATTTTATATATTTTTTCTTGGTATCGCAAAATACATTTTCCTTCATTTACAAAAGGTTATGGTCAGTAAAGAAAAAAATATTTTTACTAGACTTTTAATTTTAGAATTGCTTTAATTTACTGAAAAAAAAAATCCAATGCTAGTGTTACAAATAGCTTAGTTAGAAATACAGGCAGTCAGTCAGGGTTAGGCTCTGAAAAGGGTCAATGCAGAAAATACAACTGTGGGTAGAGGCACATTTGTTAAAGGCAGGACTTCAAGACAAAAAATGATTTATACCCACATACTTCCCCTAGGAATGAATAACAGTGATTCATAATCTCATTGGTTGGCCATACTCACCTTTTGATTTTCCATTAGATCAATGTTTTCTAAGCAACTATACATGTAATCTTATTAGTTGATTACAGTTTTGTCTCACCTCATACCACAATATTGTATTGGATCAATATTACCGAAGCAACTATACTTGTAATTTTGTAGGATTGTCCCATTTTGGACATGCCTCACCTCATAGTTTTGCTCTACAAAACTCCCTTGAGAAGGGGTCCCTGGTTAGCCAATTTGGACCTCTTCTCTTAGACAGAAGCTTTTTTTCCACCAGCAAATATTTTCTGCTCTTAACCTCTGTTGTTCCTAGAGTTCACTCTTTGAGAGAAAATGAATTTGGCGTATTAGACATCCGGTAGCTAGCAGGTTTGGAAATACATTATTTCCCTTGTATTATTTGTATTATTAATTTTCCTTGTGACTCTGGGTATTCCTATAACATCCTCTTACCAACAGTACAGTTCCCATATGCCCCACAACCTTTATTATCACCTAGTATTTACATTAGTAAGGTACTTTTGCCACAGTTAACTCATTTATGCCAATGATTGCGATGTTTTGAATTTTTTTATGATATTCATATATACTACCTCAAACAATTCAATGAGAAAGAAGTTTGTTATGGGTGTTGCAAAAATGGAATGCTAGACATAAACAGATTAATACATTACACTTTTTTCATGGGTCTTACCTTTTTGTTTCCCACTCTATGTGTACTCTTGAAGATACATTTCCAATCATATTAGGACTTAACTCAGGGCCTTGTGCATGCTAAGCAAGTGCTCTGTCACTGAATTACATTCTCAGCCCTAGAGAATATCCTTTCCAGACTGCAAGACCAAGCATGTAAGTTGCCCTACCTACACATCTACAAAACTGATAGAGCCTATTTTTCTAATGAAACATGTTGATGTGGCTCTCAGTTTCCTAATCAGTATCAGTTTGGAGGAAGTTACCTATTTCCAAATCTTACTTAGAAAAGCCTAACGTTCCATACAGATGCCACAGGGATCCCATTTCCCTGTGGATGATGGAAATGAAAGCAATCTTTAACACACACCTGGGGTACATACATAGATACTAGCAGATTGGCTTAGATTTAATAACCATATTCCAAATAATATTTGAGGGAATGATTCTGCTTCAGTTGTTCAAAAATATGTGTGAAAGATACTTAAACTGTGTTGGGAGCCGCAGCCCCGAGCCCGGTCGCCTCACTTGGCGGACGTGAGGCCTGTAGTAAAGAGTAAAGCCTGAGGTAGATTACCCCTCCCATCGAGCACGTTAGTTTCCTGCTTACCGCGTAAGCAACCCGCTCAACAATATAGTCTGCCTGGCAACTGATGATGTTAGCCAATCAGCTTGCCTTGCTCACTTTAACATGATTGGACACTGTATCTGTATATATACTGGTGCCACCCCTGGGGGGGAGAGAGAAGCCCGGAAGTAGAAGCCCAGAAGGAGCCGCGGAGAGCGGACCGGTAGAGGCTTCGGAGCAAAGCCCGGAAAGAGCCGCGGGGAGCGGACCAGAGGAGGCTTCGGCTGGGAGCGATCCCAGGACAGGCTATACGGAAAAGAAAAATAAAAAAAAAGGTTGTCCACTGCCAGGCTTTGTCGTGTGTCCTTCCTGCCGGCCGGGAGTGGACATTGACAAAACTGGGTAATTGGTAAGTCAATTAGTGAATCATTTTTTTGAAAAATCTTATTTATATTATAGGTGATCTGCTAAATACCCAAACCTATCATGATTGAGAGATATATATTATCTATCATGTGCCTTTCCCTAGCCCAACCTGACCCAGAGAATTTTTTCAGTATACTTCTTCCTGGTAATGTGGAAAGGCAGAATGTTTCAAGTAACATTTCTATCAATAAATGAACTGTTAACTGCCATACTTGGTTCACTCATCAAAATTTGGGAATCACATCTGCAAGCATGTCAACCAGTGTTTGGGAGATCTATGTTCTCAGTGGTATCCTGTTCAAGGTTTCAAATGTTCTTTTTTTTTTCTCCTAAAAGCAGTAACTGTTGTGTTAGAAACTAGGAAAGGATTCTGAATTCTCTTTTTGTCCACAAGCTTTTTGGTCCAAGAACTTCAACTTTAACATAGCTTACCTTCTCAAATTTGGAATTATCTTGTGGTTAGAAAGTTGAGTTCTTTAATATTATCCCAACTCATCCAGCTCAATCAGCCAAGGTCTAGTAGTGGTAACAACAAATTGCCATCTAATTTTTGTATTTAATGTTCATATGCACAGGTATGTTTCCTCCATCAGTATGTGAAGAATTTCACAGTGACCTGTGATAACACAAGCTCATAAACACAGCCTCTGAAGACTAAAATTGCTTATAATGCTAACAAATGTATTGATTTAATAAAAATGGCTTGCTCTACTACATACTCAGCTCTGCCCTAGTGCCTGGGACAGAGTGGTAAATAGGACCCACACCTTGCACACTCAGATTAGAATTTAAGGAGGAAATAAGTGAAAATATTTGTCTTGAATAAGCCAAAGGATGTCTTGAACTTAGAAAATTATATAGGAACACCCAAAGAATTATCAAACATTAACTTTATTTAAACATCACCAGTTTTTTCATCGTTTTTATTCTCTTACAAGTGCCAAAACAGTATTCCATATTGTCTTCAGATGTCCTGTCTCCTGTGCTCCTCTGATTTGTCACAACTTTTCATATTTCCTTATTTTTCATGACCTTAATAATCTTGAGACATACTAAGCTCACAAATACCCTGTAGAATGTCTTCCATGTGGGTATATCAGATGTTTTCCTCATGGTTACATTGAGTTAAAGGTTTGCAGAAGAAGCATCAAAAAGGTAAAGTGCTTTTCATGTAACACAGGATGCAAGTCAACGGCATGGTGACAAGATGGTAGCTTTCACCACAGGATTACAACAAGCTGCTTTCTTTTCTATAAAGTTGTGACAGTTTTTCAAACCCCATATTTTTGCAAGTGAGTATTTAGTGTAGCCATCTATAAGCAGTGCAAGTTTAAATGCCACCTCCTGGAAGTAAGAGTAACTAATATTTCTAATTATTAACTATTTCTCTAAAGAAAAATTATCTTTTCTACCCCACTTATTTTACATAGGGAAATTTATTAGCATTTACATAAATGAGTGGGAGTTAATGTACACACACACACACACACACACACATATATATTTAGCACTATAATTCACAACTCCATTTATTTTGTTACTCAAATTATTTAAGATTTGACCACTAGGGTCTAGTTTATTATTTCATAAGGATTCCATCAGCTACACAGTAGCTCAACTAGTATAATTCTTAATACTTAAACTAAGCCATTTGTCCCCTAATCATACTGCAATCGGTTAAAGATCTTTACTTGTTTTGTGTCATGAATTTATTGCTACTTTTGAGATTGATGAAAAGTGTAATGCACTGGGTCAAGCCCAGTTGACTGCCCAGTGGTCAACCTGTCAGCCTTAGTCTTGGCAAAGTCATTTGCTGCACTCTAATAATCAATTTTTCAACATAAATTCACAATTCTATTTCTTAAATATGAGGAAAGTAAAATTTTAATGGATGTCAAATAATAACCAGGAGGGTCATATATCAAATAGGAATCTAAGAGAGTAAATATATAATGAAACTCCTCCTATTGCACATTTTTAACTTGCACATGTATTTCAGATAAGCCTACATAATATCAACACTATGGCTGATATTATCTATGCTCATTACTAGTCTCCTCTTTGGACACCTGCATTGCTAATACCATCATTAATATTTTCTTTTTTTTTTTTTTTTTTTTTTGTCTTTTTCCTTTTTATCGGTACCAGGGATCAAACTCACGACTGTCTGCTTGCAAGGCAGGCGCTTATGCCGCTGAGCTAAATCCCCAACCCCTGATTAATATTTTCTTACTTTCATCATACCAACTTGTCAAGAAAAGGTCACTAGATTATGTTCTGATTTTCTACTTAGCCAAATCCGAAATGACCATTCATTCACAGTATTAGGAACCTTGATTTTTCTAAACATGAAGCCAAGAAAGCACCCTTCCAAGACAGTGGGTCTTCAAGTACGAATACCAAATTAAACCGTGCTTCCATAGTTTATTTTTAAAGTAACTTATAACACAATGTAAATACACATTAAAGATACTATGGCTGTTTAGATTAGGAATAACATGAAGTTATTTACATATTGGCATATACATGTGTGTACACACATACACACAAAGTGCAGATAATTACAGAAACACTACAAAATAAACAGAAAATTCAATATAATTTACTGACAATAATATTTATTAATTTGTCTTGTTAATAGTTGCAAAGAAACTCCTAGTACTGAAATATAATATCTAAATATCTAACTTTTATATAACTATAGTACCTCAAATTTTAATAGTATATAAATAGTATTCTAAATTAAAAAATAAGGCATCTTCCCTGCCAAGCTCCCTATAAAGATTTCAGCTCAAAGTAAAGACTCTTGAAATTCCAGCCTTCAATAATGCTGTGAAACCTTGGGTTTTAAGAATAAATCACGTAAAGGCAATATTCTTTGATCAGGTGTCATTCTCTGCAAAAAGGTGGCTGAAGATACGCTGCTGGGTATAAAACCTCTAATATCCTTCCATGTAGAGAACTAAACACATTTTTTCATCTAAGAGATGGCACAATGGGGTTGCTGTCAACTCTTGAATGACACAGACACTGGAAACAATGATGAGAGATGGCAGGTGACAAAAACATGGGCAGACAGTGGTCATCTAATTGAGGTGGTCTTAGCACCTTCAGTCCCCGTCTACTCCAATATGTAAGTTTCTCAAGTTGCCCTTTATATGAACTTATTAAATGGTGGGAAACTTCTATGTTGTTATAGCTGAAAATGACCTCTTTTATGACTCCTTGGTGAGCACCAAGCACCAAGAAATACTCACTCTTGATCTTGCCCTCTCTATGTGTCAAGAGGTGAAGGGGCAGCCTTTTGGGCTCTGTAACCCATAAAAACATTATTCTAGACATTATTCTAGGTCACACAGATCAGTTTTCTGCCAATGACATTTTGTGAGTGCTGTCAAAACTGCTATTTTGAGATTATTTAAAATAACTGATGTGGCCTTATTCACAGATTAGATCATGTAAAAAGTCCACACCATGCATAAGCCTCAGTTTTCCCAAAATTATTACCAACAGAACCTGTACCTGAAACAGGAAGGCAATTGGTAACAATAGATGGATACAGTCAGTGTGTTCAGGAAATTGAGACTAGCTGAAAAACATCTGTTAGTAAGTCTGAATCAACAAAAGATAGCCTGAAAATACACTGTCCAAAAAGGCAGAACCATTTAAAAAAATTGTTTGACTTTAGAAGGTAACAAAAGCAAAGGAGGCAAAATTATATATCAATTTCTTCCATAAGGGACTACTATCCTTTGCTCAAAAGGAAAATTCCTGGACAAGAGTCAAATCTTTGCTTTTTATCTGTACCAGAAGACAGGACTGCAGAGTGCTACCAGTAATGTGAGGTCACGGTAAGAGCTCCAAATTATACATGTACTTTGAAACCAAAGAACAAAGTTTGTTTCTAAGCTGGTCAGTCTCTGACTTCTGTGAAAAAGTGTAAGTCAGGTTAAGGTTCTAAATGCTATATGATGTACCCTCAACATAGTCTAAGCATCCTTAATCCTACAATTCAAAATCTAAAATTTTTTGACATGTACATGATTCCACAATTGGAAAGTTCTATCCATGTAACTCAGTTTTACCTAGAACATTATTAAACTATAAAAATTTCCTCAGACTTTACATATAAGGTGCATATGAATTAAATGAATTTAATGCTTCAATTGGGACCCCATCCTATGACCTTATGTATATGTCATTATTCCAAAATCTAAAAAAGAAAAATTCCCAAATCTAAACTTCTGATAGCCTTTCAGTAAAAGGACACTCCTCCTGTGTTCTTAGTAGATGACATCTGACACAAGGCTCTGAGGAACACTTGTAAACCAATGTCAGTGTGAATGACAGCCTTTCTGACACAAAGATCTAAAGAATGAGACTAACAGTGAGGTTTATACAGGATCACAGTAATTATGAGACTTATTTTTTTCATAATACAATGGATTTTTAGGAGGCATATGTAAAGGTAATTACAGAATAAGACTCAGGTATCTTTATTTTTCCTATCTGGGAATCTGGACAGGTTTGGCAATATGGAAAATTGGAAGTCTGATTTTTTTTCTACACCATCCCTCACAAAGCCAGCAAAGGAGCCACTGTTGAGAATCTTGGTTATATTCATGTACATTACAAAGCACAGAGAACCAACACAATAAACAAGCATCATTCACATCCGACAAGAAACAATGACATTTCTGCACACTTCATGGACAGTACAGGGATATAAAGATTATTTTACTTTTCAGATATTCATACAGTATAAAACAGAAAAATTCTTCAGTTGAATGACTAGTTTCTATGACTAACCTTAGTGAAATGACAAAACAGAAAAGTCACCTGTGAAATAATAAATGTTTTGTACTCAGGGATATTTTCACATAACACACAGATAATTAACTTCATCTTCATATTGATTATACTTTAAGCAGTGACTTAGGAACACATGATGTACATTTCAAAGGTGTAGATGCACCAATACTAACATACCCTTCCACGGTCTCCGAAAGGGGAAGCTTCCATTACTGCAATGTTAACAGATTTTTGAGTGAGATTGCTTTCTAATGACTGACTGGCATTACATCCTTTGTGTAATTAATATTCCATCTCTTTTGGAGTACATGTGTTATTCTTTTGGTGGTCTAAATGCCTCCAAGTAGGAAATGTACTTGAAGGGAAAAGCCTGTCTCCAGTATAAGGTCATGACTTGCTTACACATAAAATCGATATAAAGAAAGATAAACCATCCTTACAAATCTATGAGATTAAAACTTCTAACAAATGTACAACAGGAAGGCTGGGGATACAGCTCAGTGGTACAGCACTTGCTGAACATTCAAGAGACCCTAGGTTCCATCCCCAGTACCACAAATAACACAAAAACTTCAAATAGAATTACAACATGAACCAGCATGTTTGTACCTTGTTTCTAGGAAGGAACAACAAGTAACACCATAAAATATGCCTCACCATTAGAAAGGGGAGGTGGACCTCACATCTATGTCCTATGCAGTGAAAGTTAATTCTTCACTGACCAACAGTGGAATTAGCTCACAGTTCAGAATCAGGGGCACTCTTGTCTGTGTTAAAATCAAATGAAGACTGAGATATCTTTACATGGTAAGTGAAGTAAGATTCTGACTTTCTTTTTGGAATCAAGTTAGTCTTTAAAAGAAAACAATTTGCTTTAAGTGATTATAATCTAGCTGAATGCTGGGTGACAACCAGGGTGCTTAAACTGAGGCTCCAACAGAGACGAGGGGCTGGTGTGTTGGAAAGACTACCCTCTGTTCCCGCAGGGGCCAAAGAGTGCTAGCAATGCTCTTATCACCACTGTGGGCTGCCAAGCACCCTGACAGAGAAGCTCCAGCAGAATCTCACTGGAGCACACAGAGATCAACAGCAGAAAGACAAAGTAAAAGAAACATACCAGAGTTTTCTATTCATTCAGGATGTTTTCAGAATCAGAATGTTTTGCTCAGTTATTTCATTTCACTGACACTTATTTCTGGTTGTTGACTATCTGTTGTTACTCTCTTTACTTGGTAATTCTAATCCATTAATTATATATTTAAAAGCGTAAATGTTCTGAGGCATAGCTCTGTGCATGTATTTAATGTACTAATACTGGAAATACTAAAGTAGAAGTAGAGATTATAGATTTTAATATGTAAAAAGAGTTTTATACAGTAAATACCTGAGTGTCTATAAAATAAGCAAAGACTCTGAAATGACCAGTAAGACATCAAGGTTAAGGAGGGAAAGACTAGGACAGTGATTTGGCAGGTAACCAGCTGTTTGGAATCTTGAGAAGACTTTTCACCACATAGAGATATTAGAAATAATATATTAAGAATTACTGAAATAGAAATAATAGAAAAAAGTTAATGTCTAGCCAGTTGATGATATATTTATATAGATTTATAAATGGGTAGTAAATAACTCTGTGAACTATAAAGTCAGTAAACTTCTAAGTAAAGCTCATAAACCAAACAACTTAAAGGAAATCACAGACAGATTCTATTCTTGTTAAAGATGATGACAGAATTTCATACTCTTTAGTTCAATGTGATTTAAGGTTCCCATACTTTTGTGTTTTTGTTTTCTGTTTTAATTAAGCACAAACTTCAGAAGGCACAGCTTTTCTTTACCATTTGTAGAAAATTATATCAGTAGCCAAAATTAGATATTATTAAAATATTCCAACACATTACAGCATTGCAAGTAGAATTTAAATCATATGCCTTTATACTGCACTTCTGTAATCTTCCTATTTGACTAGTGATACTTCTGTGATGCCACTATCATTCTGTTAGTAGAAGATACAGGCATATGATTTATAAACGCTTGTATCTTTACCCTGAAGTTGTGAAAATAGTTAAAAATCCTGTAAAGTCAGGGTCAGTTAACTATAAAACCACAAGTGAATCTAACCTGGCAACAAAATATTTATTATTAGGCCTTTATAGGAATAGTTTGCTGATCCCTTCTCTAACCCTATGGAAGCTGTCTGGAATTACAGATAGATTGTTTACAGTGGAATCAGTGTATGACTTAATTTGGTTTTCTTTAAGACATCATATACATTATTGCTTTTGAATATTACCATCCACTTGAAAAACAAATAAAAATAAAATTATGTTAAAATGAAGACTTATTTCCTTGAAATGTTCAGAACCAACAAAACAATCATACAAAAGCAGTAAAGTTTCAAGAAAAAATAATAAATGAACAATTTACACTACAGTTACAAGTAATGATTTCAAAGTTCCTCTGAGAATGCCAGGCTGTAAAAGACAGGTCTCAAAATCCATAAAGCAGATTTCCAGCTCTTAAACTTTTATAGTGTTTAGTATTTAAGATTTTTCAGTTTCTATGGAAGAGACATTGCAGAGAATTATAGCACTTATTACCAAAAGAGGGGAAAAAAAATAGTTAAACAAAGAATGAATAGAATTTAAACATTTTTTTTTCCTTTTTCTGTTAATAGAGAACTATGTAGTCTGCTGGTGAAGAACTTGATAGAAATGGACTATTTTCATTTAGTGGGCTGATCCCTGTATCTGTGTCAGATAAAATCATAGCACTTCTTATTTGTTACCATGGATACCATGAAGATACTGCCATCCACTAAGTAATATTAGAGGAAGACAACATAATTTTCTGGAACTAGTCCTGTTTTGCCTTCATAAGTTGCCTTTAACCACCCTGGTTCCACTGATGGGTACACTGGAAAAGAAATAAATTGAAATCAACATTCGCTTCAATAATTATATAACCTAGACAAATGGTTAAAAATTCATATCGAATACTATGCATTCATCCACCCTACTGAAATGAAGACAATATCATAGTCTCTTTCTCTTTAAAGATGAAATATTCTTTGCTTTCACAGCATCAACTTGTGTGTATGTGTAGGTTTGAGTGTGTTTCTGTTTTAAACACAAATAAGCACTGAAACCAGGGTGTACACATGTGGTCCTGCGAGGGAGGAACTGGGATCTGACGTGCTCACTTACGCAGCTTACAAGAAATGGGCACTAGACTACAATCTGAAGTTCACAGTTTCTATTTAGACCCCTTGCACTATACCATTCCCTTGTCCTCCCCATGCTATGCTTATGGGAAGTATAGGAATGTACTTACCATTAGAAAATATTGCCCCCTGGGGGAAGGACAGCTCATGGCTATGCTCTGCTTTACAAGAGTACATGGCTTTGGCTTGTCTGGAAAAGCAAGATAATCTGTAAAAATCACAACACTCCACTTAGGTATATCTATACTAAAGCTTCTCTTAAAAAATGCTATTGTTATTAACTAGAATATAATATACATAAACAAAGTGTATCTGTAAGTTGACACCCATGCATTTTTCACACATTGAAAACAGCTATCTAGCCAGATCAAGAAACTGAACATTTCCAGTACACTAAAAGCTCTTGCACTTCCAAGCAAGGCTTTTAAGGGAACTGCTAGCTTATAGTCAACAGTATAGACTGGCATTAAAGATTGCTATTATTTGCTAGGAAGCTGCTGAACAGGTTGTTTTAAAAGCAATATAAAACCAGGGTTCATAGCTACCCTATAGCTGGGCTGTGTGGTGTTAACATTTGTTAATCTGTTGTTATTAATGATCCTTTTGTTATTTTCTTCCTCAACTAGAATGTAACCTCTATGGAAGAGGCCTGATGCTTAATAGCAACTGATCATTTGGTAGTAACCCAGAAAATATTTGGTAAATTATTAAATTAAAAAAAAAAAGATGCGCTGGACTCTTCTGTATGAACATGCCACTTACAGACTCAAAGTGATCTGTAATATCCCAGTACTGTACCTGCTAAGGTCTCAGTACTATACCTACAAAGAAGATCGGCAATCTCTGTCATCTCCTCCAAAGCTATAGAATCCCTCAGAATTTCACTGCCCTATTAGAATTAGATCTTGGGTCTTGACAATTCCAGAATGAAGCTTGTTCATTTAAACTGGGTTTCCAAAAGACATCTGAAGGTGAGAAAGCTTTTTATAAAGCAGAGGTCTGTTTATGTCCCCTGAGGTGAGTCTTGTGCTGTCAAAGAGCTCACAAGGGGCTCAGGTTTGGGAACCACCAGCAGCCTGGACTGCACAGCCTCACAATGGAGCACACATAGTGACAGACATTGGTGAGTGCAGACCCCAAGCAAGAGCAGCACTCTATTAAAAAAAAAGAAAAAGAAATCAGCTGTGTGTGTGCGCATGCACAAGCATGCATGAGTCATTGTGTTGCATATGTGTATGAGTGTGTTAACTGCAGATTGGTGAGGGGTTCTTTTAAGGTAGAAAAAAAAGAAAAAAAAAAAGAAATCAGCTGTGTGTGTGTGCGCGCGCATGCACAAGCATGTGTGAGTCATTGTGTTGCATATGTGCATGAGTGTGTTAATTGCAGATTGGTGAGGGGTTCTTTTAAGGTAGAGGAAAAGTATACTACCAAGTTTTGAAAACTTCTAAGAATCAGACTATGGTAACCTTAAACATTAGTTTTTCCTATAAACTAGCCAAGTATAACCACTTGATAAGGATATAACTGAGATTCTGAGAGCCACTACTTTAATAATATATAACTATGGTTTAAAAAAAATCAAGTTTTCTTACAGCAACTATGTCCTATTTCTTTAAGTCATTTAGAAGCAACTTATTAAATCTATAGGAAAATAATTCCAAAGCTACAGAAGTAATTATGCATGAATGGAACCGTTCCCCTTTTAGTATTTTACACCCTGGTGAGGGTGGGAAGAAGAAAATAGAATAATTATACCACTGAAGAATATTAAATGTATTAGAAACACAAAAAATAAAATACTGTCATCACTTTTTAGTTATTTGTGCATGTGACTAGACAGAATTTCCTTCCACTGAACTCTACCTACAGGTGTTAACTCAGAAGAAAGTTTTGATTATTTAATGCAGACTGTGACAGTATAGTTTCCTCTCAGGTGCTAATGCTTCCTCTTTTACTGTCTTGTGTATTGAAGAGGATGTGAAAATAACAAAGGCGTCTATTGTATCTCTCTTCAAAAGACTCCAACAGCCCTTTGAAAAGGATCTTGAAAAACCTGTTTCTCACTGCAGAGCAGAACAAGCTAATGACATTCACAGTCCTAAAAGCAATTTCTTGCTTCATCACTGGAGAAAACAATCTGCTCATAGCTTCCTTCCTAATTCTAAATGCCTTATAACCTTGATGGGTAAATTTACAAATGCATGATAAGGTAACTGTGTACAATTTACCAATCTCATCTTAAACATAAGGGAAATAAAAAGTCGACAAACTCAAAACGATGCTTCCTAGGGCTGCTTATCAATCAATCTCTCTCTCACACACACACACTCCCTCTCTCCGAGTATTATTTAGTTTCACTTCTTAGAGAATAGTAATGCACACTGATAGATACCTAAGCAATACTCCATACAAAATAAATCATAATGATCTAAGTGTTCACCAGCAGAGGACTTAATAAATTAGAATACACCATTCAATTAGATATTACAGAGAAACTACAAATAATACTATGAAAGTCATGAAACAATGTTAATACGAAAGGCAAAACTTGTACATATTTGTTCTTGGCAAACTGTACAGTGCACGTGCTTAAAATTAGCCACATGTTCTTTCTGTAAGTCTTTTTTTTTTTTTTTTTTCAACAAACATATCTTCGTCTGGCTTACACATCTGGGTGAGCGTTGAAAGTCTCAATGCTAAAAAACTATGCCAGAGTACAGAGTTAAAGCCTCTTATATCTAACATAGGCAAATGGCATCTCTGTTGAAAATGAAGTGAAAAAGTGGGCAACAAATTATTTTTAGCTTAAAGACATGCATTTTATAAATTTACGGAGCCACTAATCTGTATGTGGTGCTATGGCAGGAACAACCCAGCACCCCACACCTTCATAGCTCCTTTTCTGCATGTTTCCCACCAAGCAGTTCTCAAAAGTATGGTCAGGGGAACCTGAGACACAAGAGGGGCAGGTGGGAGCCTAATATATCATTGTTCTGACAATAATGGAAAGCATGTGAGGATTTATTTATTTTGGATTGTGTTAGATATTGAAAATGTAAAACAATGTAACTTTTAATTTTGAAAATACCTTTTGAAAATTATGGTGACTATTATCATTGAACACTCTAAAAGGTTCCTAAAAGGTTCACCATCACTGCTCCCGAGCTTCCTAATAAAGGAAGAGTATAGTAGTATTCCTCCACATAGTACAGGAATTGACCACACAGTGGTGACAGTATAGCAAGCAAGATTAATACCCTTACACTAAGGCCTAAAATCAACCATAATCTGCTCTGATATGTCATTTCATCTTGCCTTGATAAAGAAAAAGGTGAAATGCTGTGGATGGAGATAAGGAAGGTGTATGAATGTACTTTATGACTGACTATAGAAATGTAACGTAATCACCACTGTCCTAGTGATACCACAATTACTGTACTCTGTGGAGTTCAAACCAAACCAAACCAAACCAGAATAACCACTGACAACAACAAACTAAAACTTAAAGGGCCTCATCGGGTTTGACTAAGCTAAAAAGAGTCTGAAGGTCACTGTTATCCTTAATAACTAGCACATGTCCAGTGTTACTGGATAAATGCCGACTAGGAAAGTCTACATATTTTTATAAGGTTGATAATATGTAGCAATAACTAAATTATTTGTGACTCCTCTATTTCTTAGATTTAATTATCCAGACATAGGAAACGAGTGCAGCCATGGGAAAAATCAAGGTTTGTGTCTCCAAGTTCGCTCACATGCTCTTTCAACAAGCACCGATTGAGGACCTCCTCTAAAAGAGAATCTTAGGAAAGTCCTACTTAATGAAATCCCATTATTAAAACTAAAAACAAATGCCCACGATAGATTACAAGAATCAATTAGAAAAAAGCAAGAATTTAAGAAGGAAGGACTCTAACAGCAATAAAATATAGCAACTCATATACTTTTAATGATGAATGTAAAGTCTAGAAATAGTCTAGTAAAGTTCTGTGCTCATATAACAGCTGTAGCATACCTCAGAGGTCTACAATAACCACATTTTTCAATAGAAGTCCAGGAAGATTCTTTCAGAGAAACTTAATGTAACTTTAAGAAGCCATGAATATTCTTTTGAAATTGTCCCCACAATGACTGCCATTAAAGATGTGCAAAGAGTTACGGCAACTTCTGTCTTTCAGGAAATCAGTTTAGAAGAGTCCTTTTGCAAAAGATTTTAGCAATGAAGTCATCACTATAATAATCTAAGATGCTAAATGCTGTTACAGACATGATCTCCACATAAAAGGCCATGCACCTGACCACCTGCAAAGCTGAGGGCAGAAATATTCTGTTATGAGCTGGGCACGGTAGTGCAATCCCAACAGAATTGCTGAGGCACAGATCCCCAGGAGTTCTAGTCCAGCTTTGGCTCCATAGTGGGTTCAAGGCCAGCCTGAACTGCCACAGCAAGACACTGCCTCCAAACAAACAAACACTCTGTCATGTCAGCACAAGACACTGTCACTGATGTTACATATATTTTTTAGTGCTTCTACAGTTTTTGAGGACTTACCGCCCAGAAGATACTGGCTTAACAGAACCAACGTTTTCAAATAGTTGGGCCTTGGCTGCCACTCTGAAACATAATTTTAAAATAAATGTTTCGTGAAGTCAATCATTGTGCTCTATGTGCAATTCAAGATTATCACTTGAACAAAACAAAGAGATTAAAGAGCCACACCAAACTGGGAGCCAAATTTTAATTGTTTCAAGCTTTAATGTGAAGCAGTTTTTAGCTCTAGCCTCTAGCTCAATGATTCTCAGACTGTAATCAACTTGCAGCTACCTCTTGCAGGGTTCACAACTATCCTCATCCTTTTTACTTCAGAAAACTAAGGGAACACCAAGAACATTTTCTACCCACTCTGCTCCCAGCAGGCAGCATGTTATCGACTCCTGTGGATCCGTAAGGGAAGAGTCAAAGAAGAAAATCAACAGGACAAAAGCAGAACTGCTGTTCATTCCCAGGACTAAAAAATCCCTCCTACCGGCATGATCTCATGTAGTTTTTAAATATAAACATATTTCCTGTAACACGAATGGTATAAACCCTAAAAGTGGATCCAGTAACTTCTGGATTCACCCTTTTTTTCAAATCATGAAGGATTTGAAGGCTCTCAGATATAAAATGAAAACCACAAATAAGAGGAACCCTTAGTTATTAGACATATTTTTGTTTACTAGAAGACAAATCAAATTCCTTAAATGCTGTTCTATTTAAACTCTACTTTAAAATAATCAGCTCACGCTGGGCATATAGCTCAGAAGTACAAACGGGTGCCTGGCAAGCATAAGGTCCTGAGTTTGATCTCCAGTTTAAAAGAAAAAAAGCAAAATAATCTGTTATCCTTTAATTCACAAACTCTTCTCACTGGGCCTAGCATTTGATAATCCTGAGGATCATTTTACACCTAACATAAAACTCATTCTCTGATTTTAATTTCTACTTTAAGTGTCAGTACAATCACAAGACAAAAGCTCTTGTCTTTCCTCTGTAAAGAATGGAGTTTATATTGTCATACCTTTCCTAACACATTGACTTATAATTTAATTTCTTGTAATGGTTAAAACTATTCTCTCTGTGGAGTAGACAGATGGATGAACAGATCTGTCTGTGCCACCATAACTGGTTTTCTGATTTAGAGAGTTAATGGATGTTGAACTCTGTAACTAAAAGGGCTTTGTTAAGAAAAGGCTGGATAAATGAATATAAGACTTTGTTCTTATAGAAACAGGCTTAGTAAAACATTATGTCTAACTTTTCACAAATCGTAAAAATGTCAGAAACACTATCATGTTAAAAATGGGTATGACATACCAAATTAAAGTTACAGAACCCTGCATTGGAATTCCAACACCGCCACTTACTTAAGAGTATGTAGACTAAATCGTTAACCTTTCTTAAGATCATTTTCTATCGTTTCTTGAAGGGGGTTTAAATGATCCATTTCAGAAGGATACTGTGGACCTTTAAAGGGATAATATTTTTAAAGACACCCAATTATAACTCACATAGCACTAGGACATGTTTGGCAACTGACAGGAACACAGCATGAAAGGGAGAAACATCTTTCCTTTTTGTTTTTGTCTGACTTGTTTATCCTGGTTCCCATTTATTTCTCTTCATCCCTTTCTGATCACGGCTATGTACCCAGGACCTATCAGCCTTTACATTTCCAGTAATTTCTTTTGATTAGAAGTACTTTTCCCTCGTTGCTTTTCATGTTCTTTGCACTATTTAAATCACAGAGTACCAAGGGAGGGGAGAAACAGGATGGAGAAGAAAAAAAAAAAAACTCTCCTGAGCCAAAGAGCAGCTGTATTGGTGACCCTGAGTGAGGAACTGAGAGATGACTAGCTGCTGTAGGAAAGTTTCTAGTTCCAAAGCCGGTGACTATTATATTATGTATCTATTCTCTTGATATTCAAGCCACAGCTCTGTTCTTGGGAAAGTGCTTGAAGTGCTGCTTGATGAGACTGTTTATATATCCTAAGCTTACAGTAACTTTCACATCTTTCTGAGAAGAGGAAAGAGTCCCACAGGAGTTGATTTTACCCACTCAGTGGATGAAACATTTAAGTATGGAATTCCCAATGTGCTTCTGAACAGACTCAACTCCTATGCATCCCCAAAAGACAACAACAAACACAAACTCCTTTTCACTTACACTGAGCCGGGTCGCTGATAGCCATTGCTTGACGCAGTGTCCAGCCTTAACCTCCTACACATTTTTGGAGGAAGTTCTGGGTTTGGTGTGGCTTTGGATGTCTCCTTGGATCCTACAGAAGTTAAGCTTTGAATAGATCCACTGTAGCTCTTGTTTCCTAAAAAACAAGTCCCGAAAAATATGCAAGGTGCTATTAGACAAAATAATAGTAATAACCCAGAACATGAACATTAAAAAAGCAGCATTTTTTTCTGAGACTAAATGGGAAAGGACAGAATGTTTTTTTGGGCACAATGGACCATCACTCAGGGAGATAAAAAATCTACAGTAATTACAAAATATCACCTTACAGAGATAGGAAGATTTATGAAAATGTCACGGTGTATGAAAGTTTTAACATCCAAGCTTGGAAACATGGTGCATAAGCATCCTTAAGTTTTTCCTATTAACTTTATCCTCACCTAATCACGCTGAAAAATTCTGCAAATGACATTAAGACAATGACATCCTCTACAAGTTCCATTCTGGTTTACCTTCAGAAGCAGAGATGGACTTGAGGGAGGAAGCAGACGTTCTTTTCAATCCTGAAAGCCCGTAAGGTCCCTTCTTGACTAGGTCTATAGGAGGGGAAACATCCCCTGGGCTGGTGACTGAGGCAACACTTTGGCAATCGGACTCTGCATCTGTTTTGGCTGCATCTTCTCGAGAACTTGATTCAGGACTAGTTGTCCAGAGACCAAGGCTCTTCTGCCCATTGGAGGACGACGGGGTAGCAATCCAAGGAATTCCTCCAGATTTCTCCCTGGGCTGGCAGGAAGCTGACTTTGTAGTGCTATTTTGTTCAGAAGAGTGAGAGGACAGTGACTCAATACTACCCATGGGCGTGCTGTCTGGGCTGCTGCTATAGGAGTCACCTGGGGAGGCGCAGCAGGCAGAAGGAGGGAGACAAAAGCATCAGTAGCTATCTTTTGGCAACAACATCCCACGCGCCTTTTTCTTTTCAGCTCACTGTGAGCTCCCTGGCCACTTGAGGGCACAGATAGAGTTATGGTGGGCCTTTGTTGGTTGTGGGTTGTGGAGAGCTGTCCTCAGTACTGATGAAAGGTTTCAAACATGCAGTTACACTTACTATTCCAGCAGTGTTACAGGTTCCTATAAACTAACTTCCCCATGTAACAATTTTACTCCTTTAAGTATTAGTGGGCTAACTTGAGTGCAGATAAAAATTGTCTTCTGAAACAAGAATCAGAAAAGAAATAAGCTTCCTTCATGATGTTATAAGAAATCAGTGGAAGAGGGTATATTAAGACCTATTTCTACCTTCTTTTACTTTTCTGATCATAAGTGATTTTGAGTTACAGTGTACTTAAGTCCTCCTTCGTTCAAAGGCACCATCAGATGTTAACAACAAATTATAAGCAGGTTACAGTTTCTAAAGAAAGAAGTTTTTCTTTTTTCTGCTAAGAATATAGCAATGGAAGAAACTGGCTATTTCATTAGGTTTATTTTTTACTGTTCCCAAAAGAAAAAATGTAAAGGAAACAATCATAGAAACCACAATAAAACATTCAGATACAACTAAATTAAACATCACTAGGTAGTTTTAAACTAAATATTTGTGTTAAAGAATTAAGTGTATAAAGTGAGAATGACCACAGTTTAATGTGTGCTGTGGAATCAGGTGATACCAGGCTGGAGCTTGGCTAAGGATAAATAAAGATAATATGTGCTGTTGGTTTTCTTTTTCATTTCTTTTTTCTCTTTCAGCCACTTTGATACCAATGAGCTTTAAGAAAACAATGTGAAAGAAAGAAAACAGATGAAAATAAGAAAGAAAGAAAATAAATTATTTCAGTCTGATTTGTCCCTTGATTTCTCATTTACCATTTTGACAACAGGACAAAACCTGCTACCAAATAGCACCCAATGTACTTAATCACAGCTGCAGAAGGCACAGAACTGAGTAACAGTTTTTCTGTGTGGCAATAATGAATTTGCTTATCCAGGAACCTCACAACTGTACTGACACAGACTGTATACATTTTAGAGGAAAGGTGTTGGGGAGACAGCATCAGTGTGGTCATTTTCCATTTCTACCTAATTACTAATGAGCGAGGTCAGAGTGAACCGAAGAATGAAGAAAGCATCTCCCTCAGATCAGGCACACTTACTATCGGGCTCCGCCAGGCATGGAGTGTACCGCCCTCTGGGTTTCCGGGAGCCTGTGGAGAGGCAGATGGCTCGGGTCCTACGGGATCCAGATCGAGACTGGGGTTGAGGAAGGGGAATGTTTGGGTCTGGTGCAGTATGAAAGATCTACATTGAAGAAAAATGGACCAAAGTCAGTAAAAGGGTGAAACTGTCATGTGTATCATAAAATACGATTTCAGAGTCCCTTAATAATTTCAGAATTCAGAATTACAAAACATAAATGTCCTACAGCCACTGTAACTTTCTTTTTTCATTTACTGGGTGATGTTTCATTGTTAGCGTTTCTTTCTTTATTTTCTCACATCCCCATCATTGAAATTCAGAAGCTCTTCCAGTAACTTCAGGTTATCTTTCACATAAGCACAAATGTCTTTGCCAAGACACACTGATTCTTTTACTGCAATATTCTCATTCTCCCTTTAGCATGGGAGAACCTAAGTGTACCCGTATCATTTCTCTAGCAACATAGCTCTGTGTTTCCAGAAAGGTACTGTCAATAGTGTGGGCTCTGAGCTGTCAAGAAATGTGACCAGCTAAAGGCAGAGGAATAAGGGCAGCCACTGGATGCACTTGCGAGAAGGTGTGGGTTGGTTGTGAGGGAACTCGTAACCTGTGTCACTAAGGATATCTTCAGTGGCACAAGGAAGGGACTTTGGGGAAGGCAGAGCAATGATCATTCTCTCACGAAGAGCAGATCACACATAAGTGGAATTTTGCATAGTTAGGCCCTCGATGGCAGACTTTGTTTATAACTCAAATAATGTGAATTTCAGTCCTATGTCCAGTTATTGCAAGGTCTCACTCTTTCAAGGAAAACCTCTTTAGGGGTTACAGAGAGAAAGAAAACTTCAAGATTTTGATCTCTTACTGGTTTTCAGCAGAAATATCATCTTTACTATATAAACCAAGACTAATTCCAAAGGAATACAGAGAGAAAGTTAAAAAACTTTTACCACAAAGGGATTGTACAGTACTTTTGGAATGAGTAATAACTGCACAAATGCTAAAGAAAATAAATGATATGGAAAGTACATGATATAAAAGGAAAAGCTACTAAAGAATTTTGAGAAGCACTTATCTAAATTACAACAAAAGGATATCAGAGTCTCCAGGAAGAAGTAATTTTTATAAAACTGACACATTTTATAGGAATCTGATATGACAATGTAAGGCTGACAATACAAATGCAAAACACCTTCTTAAATGGCAACGTAGAGAATGTGATGTCTGCACATGAAAATTCAGCCTACCTTTTCATAATGCTCTATCAGAATTTCAACTACTATATTCTGAAATTTAATATTCATCATTGCAGCTACGGTTTCTTCCTGTGCTCGCATCAGAGTTGGGCCAAATATGACACCAAGATTTGAGACAGTCATGAGATTTTGTTGGCTGTGCAGTGATACTCTGCCAATAAAGAACAAAAGATAAATGATTAATAAGTACAAAACATGCTTTTCTATCAAACTTGTGGCACAAAAATATAAAATATGTTTGCCTTTATAGGCTAGTTTTCTCAATCAGTTTTGGTTACTCCTGTTGTAATAGCTCAAAAGATGTAACATGTTCTTAAAAATATGTGTATTAAATATATATTAGAGGATAACAAGAGGCACTATGGTAGCCATTGTTAATGTTGTATTTTAAGTCATGTACCATGTTCATTCTTTTTATTGACTCTATTCTGTTTTGTTCATTTGGTTTTATTCTCTTAAAATAAAATTTAAAAAAATATATAATACTATTAATATATATATTAATATATATTAAATTGCTATAAAATAAACTCAGCATATTGAGCTATGGAACACTAGTACTTTGACCTAACTGGATTTTGTCACTCCTTATTTATCCTCCTACTAGCCCCAATTCCATCCTAGGTTCCAACAAAAGCAATGAAAAAGGTTTAAGGAGACAGAAATGTTAATTATGCTGATTTTTTAAATACACATGTACTGAATTAATACACTATATCATAAATATACAAGTATCATGTGTTAAGTAAAATTTTTAAGAAGTTGTTAAAAAGTTAACATGTGCCCAAATATAACAAATAAGGGCAAAGCTTAATCTACTGAGGAAAAGTCTGTAATTGTTTGGTATTTTCTGTGGTATAATTTTTTTAGAACGCATGGTTAAGGGAATGTAGTGGTCATTATATTGGCTTCAGGCATATTATTGGGAACCTATGTGCAAGAATCTTCATATATATTATTGCAGTTAACTACCATAGTAAGTCAGTTATGTCTACTATACAGGAAAAAAATAGCATAGATACTGTAAAGTGAAATGTACTGTGGTCATGTAAACTAGGAAGACAGGTGCTATTTCAATTCAGGTCTCTTGACTGAAGTCACGGTTTCCTTGAAATCCTAAAATATATCATGGGCCAGTATGTGGACTTGTTCCCTCTTCTTTTCTATTTATTTCCATTTAAAACATCCCTATATGTCTCCCTGGTACTTGGCAGTATACTAGGCAAACAGTAAGATAAGCAGATGCGGTAGCATCATTGTTGGCTTAAAGATGAAATGAAAATCCTCTGAAGTGTCACTGACTACAGTAAAATATACCAAGAAACTATGAAGATTGACTTTGATTGCTTCACTAATTTAATCTAGAAATTGGTTATATTCTTAAAACAAACTCTTACTTATTTAACTAATCTGCTGTTAAAAACAAATTTCCTATATTATTGCTGCTGGGGTATCGGGATGTAAAGTTTTAGGAAAAAATACAACACAAGATTAAGTTTATGTCTGACCAAGTATGCAACACTACCTGCATTCCACAATCAGAAGCAAGATTTTATGAAAACACCAGGTTTTTGGAATATCCATGCCACTGACATAAGAGAGGAAGAAGAAATACTAATTTTTATCCTCTTGGTCTAGAAAGCACGAGCTGAGAAGGTGTTAAAGTAAGAAGAGTTCCAGTCCATTTTCTTTTTATATAATTGAATATTACGTATTAAATGTTTAACATGTACTAGACACTTTGCCTGTGAAAGCTGCATGTAAAACCAGTGAGCCTTTGTGGATTCAAAGTTTGGATTCATTTCTTAGATGCCAGGCAAGCTCAGTCAAGTTATTCAGTATATGTAGGATTTAGTTTTCTTATCTGTGCATTACACATACCAATACTCACTGGATTGCTGAGAGAATAAAATGAAGCAACAAACTAAAATAACTGAAATTATCATTGCAAAATAACATTCTCTCTCTAAAATTAAATTGATTTTAGGCATGCTTGCTAAAATGTTCCAGTTCCTGTAATACAAATAAAATTCAATGTATAAAGCTCAGGAATAAATTTGGAATCTTTTTTCAGTACCAGGGATCGAACTTCACGACCTTGCACCTGCTAGGCAGGTGCTTATGCCACTGAGCTAAATCCCCACCCAAATTTGGAAATCTTAAAAAGTTGGTAAATGTTGGGCCAGGGGTTTAGCTCAGCAGTTCAAGTGCTTGCTTGGTAAATGCAAGGCCATGAGCTTGATCGCCAGTACCAAAAACACAACACAACGCAACACAAACACACAAAATGACAACAACAACAACAACAACAACAACAATAACTTAGTGTTTTGGAAACAAGTTGATTACAATGCACACATGCTATAATATTTTGATGGGTTCGTGCCAATTTTCTCTTCACTGAATTTCTCTTCTTCTGAGCTAACCCATGTCTCTGTATGGCTAAACATATCACTTTTAGATATATAATTGGCATAAAATAACAAGGAGGTGGATAAAAGCAAAGCTATACTGCAGGAAGAAATAATACCAGATGGTAACTCAAATCCACAGTAACAAATGAAAATGACAGAAACTCTTCTGTTTTCCCCTAGCTTCTTTATGTAGTACAAAGTAATACAGTAACAATGTATTTATTGTTGGGTATGGTAACATATATAAATGTAAAGTGCATAAATAATAGCATAAAAAGAAAAAAAGGAAATAGAACTATATAAGCATATGTTTGTATGTCTCACTGGAATTAGGTTAATATAAATAGATTTTTATAAAATATATATTGTAAGCCTGAGAAGAACAATTAAGAAAAGAAAGTAGTAGAGGTGGAGTGGAATAATGAACACTTGCAACATGTAGAAAACAAAACAGAATTAACAGCATAACACGTGCACAGGTTAAACATAAAGAAAATCAGATTATTAGGCTGGATTTTAAACATGGGGTAAATAATTGAGATTAAAAAATACAAATAGGTTGAGAGTAAAAGAATGAAAGATACATTATACGAACAGCAACTACAAGAACGCATGAGCAGCTATACTAATATCGCACAGAATAGATTTTAAATCTATTTTTAAATTTAAATCAATTTTATTGGACAGAAAGATAAAAGAGAATAATAAAGGGTCAAACCAACATGAATTGATATCAATTATAAACATCTTTGCACCTAACAAGAAAGTACCCAAATAACAAAGCAAAATTATGTGTTTCTGAAAAGGTTTTACAAACACAGAACCAAGAATTTTGTTTAATTTTACATCTGGACTGAGCAAAAGATCTTCAATCACCTAAATATTGTGGAATTTAAAACATCGTAAGCAGAATGGTAAGTTTAACATCATTAGAAAATATCCATTTATAAAAATGTACAGTTTTTATTTTTTTTTTGAAAAGTTTTTATTGAGGAGAAAACTAAGTTTTATTTGGCATTCAAAAGAAATTCCACAACATTTTTTTTCATCGGTACCGGGGATCGAACTCATGACCACGCATTTGCAAGGCTTATGTCGCTGAGCTAAATCCCCAGCCCCAACATTTTTTAAAAAAAAATTAGAATGTTAGCTTGACCTGGGAGAATTTGGTGACTTTAGTAGTATATTACACAAATCTTCATACTCACTGCTTATGACACACCTAAAAGAACTGAGGAAAAATTCCAGTCCCACATATTCTTAAGTTGATAAGTGTTTCATTTTTAGTTTAACAGTTGCAAATGATATACTTATTTGCATTTTGAAAACCTATATAGTACACATGACATATGTAGATATACTCTAAAGATAAATTAGCACATCATTTTTAAAGCTCTTGCAATAGATTGGTTACAATAGTAATGGTATAGCTCCAGCATATACTTTAAAAAGATATGAACAAGTTTTAACAACAGTTAAATATATAGTTAAATGAATAATATAAGTTAAAAGAATTACTTGACCAGGTGCTTTATTAAGATGTCCAGCATTTCTCGGTTTTTCTCAGGCAATTTGTGCACCAATGCATGTACAGCCTCCACCCTGTAGTTCTGGTCATCTGATTCTATTATGTAAAAAAAGATGCAAATGCTCAAGTTTTAACTGCATTCCAATGAGGATGTAAATATTAATACATATAAACATCTTAACCACTCCTACTTTACATGCTTTACGAGTACTACTTCATGTAGCATGATTATCATCAATCCCTAAGACTTAGAGAGGTTAAATAACTTGTTCATACACATGAAATTAGAGAGCAGAAAGTCAAACAATCAGTTCTATGGATTCTACACATGTGCTCTTAATCACTTAATTATATACTTTCATACAACATTAACTTATTACCTGTTTGGGTTTTGAAACCAAAGACACAATAGAACTAATAGAAATGAGAACTTCAGCAACTGGTGCAGTCTCTCCAATTAAATACAGTATTACTCACATTATCAAGTAATATTCACGTTATCATACAGAAACCTCCTAGAGATCCAGCACATGCAGCCGGAGTCAGAATTCCCCTCTTTAATTTACAGCTGAATAGTGTGGCTTTTCTGAGGTATACAAAGGCCCAGTAAATTGTAAATCCATACAGACAATGGTAAATCTGAATTGGGAGACCTCATCTAAGCAAGTCCAGTCCTGCCAGGCAAAAGCTAAGGCACTGACATATATGCTAGAAAGACATCTAACACTTCACAAGAAATCTTAACATTCTCTTATTGTGGTTGCCCACTTTGCCAAGCCCTTTCTCCAGAAACAGCCGTAACTCACAGATCTATACCATGCGGCCACTTTCTCTCCCTGTCCAGTTGTTTGGACATAAAGTGATGAAAGACCTAGTTCAGGGTAAATAAAGTTTCCCACAAGTTGGAATGGAAACACCAAAATTCTCCCTTATCTGCTCAATAAGTAGAAAGGCAGATCATGTAACACCAGAGTGGGGAGACCAAATGTACCTCAAGAAACTGACTAAAAAAGGGGAAATGAGAATGAGAAAAAAATATAACGAAGAACAGAGATCCTTCAGAAAAGCTCAAGGTGGTCTGGCCCCTTCTCTGCACAGGGATTCTGTAAGACACTTCTTGGGCTTGCAGTACCTTGCCTTTTTTTTTTTTTTTACTGATGATTTCAAACAACTTACTTTTTATTAAATAACCTAATTTAGGTTTTAATAAACAAAACCATTCTTAAATAAAAGGTAAATTCTCAAATATAAGAACATGTTTTAAATATCATGGTACCAAAGAATAATGTAGGTCTGTGATCACCATTTGTTATAGAAACAAGCACAGAAAGAAATCTATACCAAAAGCTTGTATCAAAACAACCAGTTCATTTTAGTCAATTTTAATCCAGGTGGCTCAAATGCCACTTACAAAGCAAAATCTTGGCATAAAAAGTTTTGGATTAAGATTGAGAAAACAAAATCAAAGAAACAAACAAACCAAACAACGAGCATGTAGCCCTGGTTTGCCAAAAATTTACCAGTGTCCTTAAATGCGTTCCTTATCTATTCTGGGTTCTGATTTCTTAGTCAAATAATCTGAAAGGTTGGATTATATATTTTCTGAGGTCCTGTTCACCTTACCATGATAGGATTCTATGAAGAGAATGTAGAAAGGAGAGTTTTTAGTGGCTGCTAACATAATAATATAAGTGTTTAACATACCACGTGGTTGGCCATGAACACTGAGTTGAAAACCAAGATCACTCAACTTTATGAGACACTTTAATCATCAGACATTTCCTGTGACATTACAATGTGTGGAAATAAAACTAATGCAACTGATTTTTTTCTTAAACTGTGAAAAATACTCTTAATTACAGTCAGATCTCATACAGTTTAACAATGAAATGCACCTCCTAATAGTTAACATATAGAGATGTGCTCTCATGGCAAACTGGCACTTGAGTCTCAATGGTTGAAAAACTGCATATTACTAACATGTTTTTTAGTGTTTACCCCTGAATTTTTCAGTTAAATCTACCTATTAAATCATAATTCAGTCACAGACCTATACATACGTGATCACAAGTAAATAAAATATGATGGAAAGCAATTGATGCAAGTATGTGGTCAAAAATATATTACTTACGTTTCTAGCTTAAAGAAGTATGTGAGCACGCACAGAAGTATAACTCTCTTTACATAGTCATAACTTTATTTAATCATAGTTATTCTTATGAAAAGTTGGTATTAATGCCTCGAGCTAAATGAAGTCAGAATTCCTCAGAGTTCTTTCTAATCACACAGGACTGTTATCACAATAAGTGATATAAAGTTATATTAAGTGACAAGATATTCAGCTCAATTTACAATTTATATTGGTTTAAAAACCACAGTATAAACTAGTAAGTATCATATTATATATAAATGGCAATATATAAAAAAGTAAATTAGATTAAAACTTGTATGTCTGTATCTTACACATAAAAACTACATTAGTTACATGCATCGGGTGGGTGTGTACTTACTAACAGCAACAATAAAATCTTTGTGCAACTTGTAAGTCATCAGTGGTTCAGCAAGGCACCTATAACAGAGAAGCAAAGGCAGTGCCCTTTTAGAACAGCATATGCCCCCCGCACACTGTCAGTGCTTAGGAACCCAATTACTTTTGTTAAAAAAAAAAAAAAATCAAACAATAATTATAATAACTAAGTGACTATGCAGTGTAAGGCCCTGCAGAAGCCTCCAAGTAATTCTAAAGTAATTGTAAAATGCAGACTTCCAAGGTGCAAATGGCTCCTAGCACCTGCTGCTACAACTGCATTAGGGAGTGTGAGACCAAACAAAACTAATCTCACAGCTAGAAACAAACAACTAAAACTTTAAAGATACACAAAAACCTAACATATAAGTTTAATGTAAAACAAAAAATACTAATTATTACTCATGAACAATTGCAGACTTCTATGTTATTATTGGAAAAGTAAGTTCCAGAATGCTCAGTGTAAAATTTATAGTCCTGTGCACATCCACCTTACACAAGGCCTGGAATTAAGCAGTCTGTATATGGGCTCTGTGAAATCAAATGGCTACCGCCCATGGAGGCACTGACAGAACACGTCCAGAGACCAGGGTTAAACCCCCCTCACCTGAGGTAGTTTTTCAGCCCACTCGTTATCGTCTTATTGTCCCACAGCTCGATATCAATGTCAATATCAGGAGGGGATTTAGGGGCTAGAAAGAATAAAAACAGATATATAAACTACAATTCAAAATATGCCTTGTGGGCCAGGGATTTAGCTCAGTGGCTCAAGCACTTGCCTGGTAAGCACAAGGTCGTGAGTTTGATCACTGGTACCGAAAAGAAAAAAAAAAAAAAAATTCCCTATGCCATTGTGAAAATGGACACCAACTAAGTAGGTCAAAAGACAGATGCATTCATTTTTTCAGATGCCAATAAAGTAAACTTTAGGACTGTTCCTTGGATGAGTGATAAGTTCATTTTGACAGTGAATCTTTAGGATATCTAATGGAATAATAGTCTCCCAAATCAACTTAACATTATTTGTTAACAGGACAGTGATTAACAGGTACCTGGTATGCTTTTCAGTCTTCTACATGGATTAAAAGATGTTATTATTATCCCTACTTTTATAAATGAGGAAGCTGAGACACAGGAAGGTTAAGCAAATTACTAAAGTTCATAAAACTTTTAATTGGACAAACTGTGATTCCAAATCAGGCAATCATGCATCTTTTTGATCTTTAGTTAACCAAACGACATTTGAACACAGAGGGTGAGTGTACAGTTTTGTGGTAAAGTCCATGCTTGGCATCTGCAAGGACTGGACACTAACCCAGCACTAACCCCCTAACATACCATGCAAAAAACTGAGTGAAAACATTAATGCAAATATTATTTGAAAATACTCAAAGATAAGCAATTACTTACATTTAAAAAAACTTGTAGTTTAAATAACCAATAAAAATACAAAAATTAACTTATTTCATCTAAAACTTACAAAATGTGGTGGTCATGAGCTTCTGAACCTTGGAGTTCACTCCCCCTATTCGGTATAGCCCTAAAATGGTGATGCCTAATGAGAAAGAAAAATCACAAGAAAATGGCTTGAGACAGTTTTCCAAGTACAGAATGTTAAGAACTCAAGCATACTTCTACACAGAATTTGAAAGCTACTTATGCAATTTTACAGTCTAACCTTAGCAAACCTGTCCTGGAAAATACCTATCAGACACATTTCTCAGAGCAGACACTGAATAGTCATTTGAAAGACTCTGAATATCTATCCACAATTTCTGAATATAAAAAGCATCAATAATAGAAAGAGATGATCCATGGTCCTCATCTTCTGCTTCCAAGTCACTGATAAACAGTCCTAAAGAATTTCCATGTTCATTTTGAATGCAAGGAAACAGATTTAGCGAATTTAAGGAACCTACTTGACACCTCTCAAAACTTCTAAATAGCAGCATCGAAACTTGAATACGTTCACAAACTTCAAAGCCCAAAATGTATTTTATTTTAGACAGGATTTAGTGGAAATGAATGTGCCTAACATCTAACTGGGGTAAGCTTCAAGACAGATCATGATTAGAGTAGTAACCAAAATCATGAAAGAAAAAAAAAACAAAAACAGAGTAAAAAGGTGGCTGAAGATAAACTTTTTAAGTCTAAACTCTCAGTGCCTGACAAATTGCAAAGAAAAAGTTATGAAACAGTGTAATTTTTGGTAAACTGAAGTTCAAAGCATAGCTACTGATACATTTATATAATTTATCCATTTATACTATTCTTAAAATTAATCTCATGTCAACCCATGCCAAAAAATACACTGTCTTTCTCTTTAGTCTTTTTAAGATAGGTTTTGCTATGTAGTTCAGGCTGGTGCTAAACTCGTGGTGATCCTCCTGAGTGCTGGGATTACAGGGCATGGGTCACTACACACAGCTACATCTTCATTTTCTACTCTGATAGGTTGGGACACACAACAGTAATAATAGTGTACCTGTTAGGAAACACTCACCTCTTGTTTCCACAGCTTGAATGCATTTTCTCACAAAGTTGAAACCTGCTTCATTTAAGTACACTGAAAATAAAAGAAAATCAAATTAACTGTTGATATGAAATGTAAATTTCCCCTTTAGTTGACTCTGTGCACTGTGCCTTCACTGCATAACAGCACAGTGCTTACTGAGTTTATCAAATATTTTGACTAGAGTCTAACTTTTTAATTTTGGGATTAAGGAGGTCCAAGTTCACAATTACTACAACTATCAACTTATTAACCAGCACAGATTGTTCAAAGAAAATATATTGTATTGATGCCACCATTTCCCTTTTCCAGGTAACAAAAGTCAATGCTAAAAGAATAATCCTTTATGTTATGTGGGAAGTTATATTAAAACCTTTGATTTATTCTTTCCCATGGGATTCTAAAAACAACATTGTAAGGGTCTTAAACTGCTAAAAACTTCACCTTTCTCTGTTCTAAGCTCCAGTTAGACTTTGACACAGGTGCTCCTTGTATGACATTGTTTCACATTCAAATTAATCTAAAACATGTATATTTAGTAAACTAAAAAAAAAACCCTCCCAAATTATACATTATAAAACAGCAAATTATTTTCATTTTTTTCTAGAGTTTCTTTAAATCATCGTTTTTTTAAGGTTGTAGGGCCAGAACCAAATTAGATTACCTATATAAAAAAAAGCACTTAAGAATACAAAGGGATATCTAGAGGAAAAACTTGAAACACTTTTTGTACTATAAGGAAAATTTTCAACACATGTATAATTTTCAATATTTTAAAATAATGATAAATGAAGATAATTCAAATGGATACAAATTTTGAAACTGGTTTCCTCTGAACAACTTTGAACTAAACACAGATCCACAGAGAAAAAGTACATACTAAAACACCTATGATAAAAACCAAGAAAAAGTACTAGCAACAGACTAAAAACTTCAAAACAATCTTAGACATAGGACACTAATAAAGATGAAATCATTAACACAATACAAGAGGCAATAATGCAGAAGGGTATTTATTATGTGTTGTTAGGTAAAATGAGTAACTGACAAGACCATAAGGCCCATATTATTAAAATGTAGGAATCTGAGAACACAATTTTTTCAATTATTCTAAGAAAAACTTTATAAAGATAGATGCAAACTGTTGATAAGAAGATGAAAGTTGAAGACAGAAACTGTCATTTTTATTCAGTAGACTTTGGAATCATTTGATTCTAAATACAGGGTCAGTACTTTAAATTTAACACCAGTACTCTGGAAATAAAAATGTCCAAACTAAATTACGAACGACTATCAATATACAGTAGCTGATGTATTTCTTGGCTTCCAGTGTACTACATCAAGAGAACAGAACTCAATAGGTTCTCCAAGTGACCTCAACGCACGTGAGGAAATAAGTGGTTATAGTGGGAAAGTACTATTAGCCCACACTTAGGAGCTGCACAGGAATGCAGCTCCTTTGACACTAAGAAAGGATCACTCACTTCCAATAATACAAGATGTCAAACATAATACGCATTCAGACATTTAGAAATATTTACTAAGTATAGGAAACAAGTATAGTGGAAAGGTAAACAATCATTTCTTAATTTTTGTTTTGAATAATGAAAACAAAAATTGAGACAAGTGCAATCCTAAGTAAAACTAAAAGACACAACACTTTTTGTATCAATTAGCATTGTAAGTTCCTGCCATTTGTGATGTTTTGTACTGAGGGTCACAATGTTCAGCTTTTCAATAGAAAAGATTTATTAAGATGAAGACAACCATTTTAAAACCATTTTTCAATAACACTAGACTTTGGAAAAATAAAGACACTGTGATATGCAAAACTGGAATTTGTTTCTTCAGTATTCATTTTCAGAAAAACAGGCAATAATCAGGGTACATTTGAAAGGCAGCAATACTCTTGTCTATGTTAATAGACTAATACTAATATTACAGGCTCATCATGTGTAATAAAACCTCACAGCATGTCAGTCTGACTGCAAGGGCATTTTGAGGGTTCTGCTGTCCTGGTGGATCACTTGGATGCTGTTCACAGCTCTCTTTGTATGAGTAAATGTAGTATTACTAACCAGTTCAGAGATGTGGAAAATACGCGTTACCAACAATATCTGGGCTTTTTTGTTGCTTTCAGTCATCCATTGTTTTGTCAGAAAGACAACAGATGTGTGGATCAGAGAAAGGCCCAGCTTTGCCTAGAGCCAGGCAAGCCTGGCGTGAGGTCCCAGCTCTAGTGTGACTGCTGGATGAAGAGCAGTGTGCCTGTTAAAATTTAAGAAATCAGAGAAGTGGCAAAATGTATGTTAAAGAGTCATAGCAAAGTAGAAATAAAAACCACATGAGGCACCAAAGAATGCCCAACCATGGGAAAAAAGCAATAAAAATGCTAGCTGTCTTTCCCCTCTGTTCCTGTCTGTGCTTCATAGTTAAAGAAAACAGAAAAAAATGATAAATAAAACCAGCTATTACTTCTAATCAGATAAGAGACAATACTCTTCCACTCAAAAGCTTTATTAACAAGCATAACTTTAGGGATTTAGCTCAGCAGTCATAAGCGCCTCCCTGGCAAGCACGAGGTTGTGAGTTCGATCCCTGGTGCTGCCTAAAAAAATAAATAAATAAGAGCTTATATATAGGGCTATTTTTGTATTTTAGAAACAAAACAACAACAACAAAAGAGAATAAAAATGATGATACAGTTTTTCAAAACAGCCATTTGCAGACTGCAAGGAGAGAGAAGCAGGCTTCACCAAGAGGTGATCCCTGCCTAGAAATCAGCACCATGCATGGGCCGCTGCCCGAGTTGGGGACAGCCAGACTCAAGCTTCTTTCTGCATGTCAGCACTACTGACAGTTTGCAAAGGGAGAGAACCAGGACTCATCAGATGATCTCCACCTGGAAACCATATCAGTTTCATTGCTTTGTTGGGTTGAGTTTTATTCTCGTTTGTTTTGTTTGATTATGTTAAATCTGATGGCATGAGCAGCTATTTAAATATAGCAAGACAGATTATGGTAGCCATTTTGGATTTACTATTGCTTGTTTTGAAGTCCTTTATTGCATTTATTATTTTGTTTTTACTGTATGTATTCTATTGTATTCTGTTCCATTTTTACTATGTCTGAAGGTATCTGCAGCTATTTTGAAGACAACAAAAGGCACTGGGGTAACTTGTTGATTTTGTAAGCTTTGGAAGTACTGTATCATTATTATGGTTTATTTTGATTGGTTTTATTCTGTTTTATTTTCCTTGGTTTTATAATATTTAAAATAAAAAGAAAAAAGAATTTCAAAATGAAGTAATAGGAAACTAATATTAGTTAATATACTGCATATTGTTATCTTCAAAGTAGTTGTTCAGATTACAAGATTTAGCTATAAAAATGATCAATGAAAGCACAAGCTGTCCTTTTTGATGAACAGATCTGTCTTTCTTTCTTCCTTTCTCTTATCCCAGCTGAGCACTTTCTTTCTCTTATAGGGTTATCTGAAGATTAAATAAGTTAGTATTTACAAGGCTCCAAGAATAGTACTTTGTACACAGTATGGGCTATAGTGCTATCATCAACTATTACCATCATTAATGACTAAGGAGAACAGAAACATCTGCATATGAACGTGTCATATTAATTAGGCATGGCTGAAATCATGAGATGTTGAGGGATGGTCAAAAATATGAGCACTGCTGGCATGGTGGCACACAGCTATAATTCCAGCACCCAGGAGGCAGGGGCAGGAAGATCACTGTGAGTTTGAGGCCAACCAGGTCTACCTAGTGAGTTCAAGGCCAGCCTAAACTACACAGCGAAACCCTGTCCCCCATCCTTAAAACAAAAACAAAAACTAACAAAATCAACCAAATAAAAATACCAACACTATTTTTCAAAGAAAGATATTATGTTTCTTTTTGGAGGTTTGGGGGACATAGCAAGGACAATGACTTACTTCTTTCATCACAAAATACAGAAAAAGCATTTAATGGGGGAGGTCTTGTCCCTCTTGCTGGCCTCTGAAAAGGTAATCTGTACAGTAAGAAATGTTCTTACATATTCATTTTATGTCCATAAATCACAGTCAGCAGATACAGCCTCTCACTAGAACCAGGCAGACTGCAGCACTCCAGGAGTACTGTCCCATATTTGTTGCCTGTTCCTGTGGGAAAATTATAGTTCTCAGCATCCACGAGGATAGACTTGGTCATGTATTATGCAATGAAATAGAGGGGAAGTGACATATGTCACCACCCAGGAGAACTGAGAGCCTGTAGTAAACAGTTTCTATTTTTTTCTCTGGCACAACATAAACAATGATACAGAAAAAATTTCTCTATCAAGTTGAGTTTAAGAGTAAGAACTATGTATCACTGTGGACCTATATACACACACACTAAGCACAAGAAATGAAGCTCCACTGTGGCATGGCGCTGAGAACTAAGGACCTTCTATTGCCAGTCTAATCCAGCCAGTTCTAATTATACATAACTCAAAACAGGGTGCTGTGGCAATGAGGATTCAAGAAAATAAAGCATATTCTACAAAATTAGTTTTTCCTTCTTAAACGGGGAAATATCTGTTTTTGACTACTTTCTTGTCAATTCACATAATAAAGGCAGCGCAGAGCGACAGTGCAGGCACCCAATCACTGTTGCTTTGCAAACTGCAATTCAACAGGATCTCTACTTGAGCACCCAGCATTTTTCACTGAGGTCTGGGAAAACAAAGTGGCTCAGATTTTGTCTCCAATGATTTGATACAAGATGAGGCCACAGGAGTGTAATTTCTTAGGGCAAGCACATTTTATAATAGAAAACAAGCAATTTTCAAAAGCCATGAAGGGGTCACCACACTTATCAGCAGTGTAATAAAGATTCAACTAAAATAGCTTTTCTGTAGTCTAAAAGAAAGAAAAAATTGGTTACTTTTTGTGTCCAGGTGAGATGTCAATTGAAAAAGGTTATTACTACACTAAACTACACTGTTAAATATGTGACATTTTACTATAATTCTCCAGTAGAAGACAAACCACTCCAGCGGTAGGAGAGGTAGGAGAGGGAGGAGTGGTAGGAGAGAAGGGGAGGTATGTATGTGTACACAGCAGAAATACTGAGTGCTGAGTCAGGGCTCAATATCTAGTCCACAGCAGGCAATGAAAAATGCTTACAGATTGATGGTTTGCTAGCTTTTGGTCTGTACAAGCTCACTCAGATACATTCTCTGATGGCTACTACAAGGGTTAGGATGCATCAGCTAACCTGAGCTACTTCTCTGACCTATCCTTAGACCTTGTGTGTACCTCCCTCACTGGAAAAAGGATACCCAGAACCAACAACTACCAAATTTCCAGGAACAAACATACTATAATATTAATGGTATTCAGCCTTCAGTGATAGAAGCAGAGGGCAGACTAACATAATTCAATTTATTCAATCAAAGTTAAATTACCACTTCCCCCACTCCGGAAACTGTTCAGGGTTAAATCTTTTATTGAAACTCAAATGAAGTTTAAGGCAGTTTAGCAGCACAAAAGCTATTAATCTCAAGAGAATTCAAGCAGCCATAAAGACAACAAAAGAAACAGTCTTCCTTAGAGCTAGCAAAGCAAAAGATCTTGTACTTTTAATTTGCTAACTAATGCAAATCCTAGCATCTCTTCACAGATGTACAATATGCAGACTTACAGTACACTCTCAGGGTTAACAACAAGTAACACCTGTTTTTAGATTTCACTTTGTAATCTGCCATTTCAGGTTACACAGACATTTAATATCATACTATATGTGGTTTGAAAGAAACAAAAGAAGAAATAGGTGGATTTATTAGTATTCACCATACTCACTGTTTCTTTTCCTCTTCTTCCTAAAGGATAAACAGTTAAGCCTTCAGTGTTGGCCTAAATTGTCCTTGCATTCTGCTTTGTACATAAAAAATGCTTGAGCTATGTCCCTCTTTGATGAAAACAAAACTAAATTTGATCAAAGGTCTAGGGAAGAAGAGATGAATGATGGTGTTACATAGGCTATCTGAGAGCTCGGAGAATAAAACTATCTGAACATCAGTATGAACCTCAAGAATATTCAAGACTGATGGCAAATAGGTGCCTACAATAAGAAAAATAAGCTTCATTTTTCTGTTTATTGCTGTAGAGAATGTATCTGCTAGTCACTGATAGGAAAAGCCAATGAAACAGTGGCCAAGATTGAAAGTTGACTGGGAACTGTATAGTTAGCTTCTCCAATTCTTGTGATTTTGTATGATGTCCCTTAGTCTTTACATGATGATACAGTGGTTTTTATGAGTGAAATTTTAAAGTTTTACCCACAATACATGGGCGCACAATGAAATACTACTGACTTAACTGCACAAGACAATAAGATCTAAGTATCTTTTCTTTCACAATTCTCACTTTGTTCAAATACAAGGTGAAGGGTAGCTTAAACACCATCATATGAAAGTCACATTTGAATGGATAAGACACAAGGCGTCAACAGAGAATGTCAAAGAAAGAAAATCTAACTGCATTTGGCTTTATTAAAGTCCAGTCTCAAAATGGAGGTCTTGGGACAGGAAATGTATGTCAAAATAGATAGTAATCTGTATTCCTGGATTAATGAATTAAGATGGTAGAAACTTTGAAGAACTATTAGTAAGCTACTTTTAAATAAAATATTAATATTGGGCCAGTTTGAGGACTGTATTATATCTAATTTTAATCAGATGGCATCTGCTTAATATTAATGATAGATAATACTAACCTCTAGAAGAATTAATGACCCCAAATTTTACAATTTAAGGGAAAGGACATTATGCAACCTCTTACAACCCAAAAGGTATTTTTGGGTTTAATACCCTGTAAGTGATCAGTACCTTAGACTTTTTTACTTGATGCTTTGTCATAAAGAAGATATAAGTTTTCTTTATTGAATTATTTGAGTCTGATGCACAAGATCTATGTGAAAAATGGTGAATTCAGAGCAACTAAAAAGAGAGGGTTTTTAATGTCAGTTTGTAAAGAAACTCACTACTGCACAGCTACTACAGAGTTACAGTTTTCATTCCATGCTACATTTATGGCATGGCACTAACGTAGATGGCTCTAGGTTTTCTTAGCGAAAGCACAGACATGAAGACTATACTTTTAGTGGCTTCCATCTGAAATGAGTTTTAACACAAGTTTTATATTTTAGTATTTTAAATTTCATTATATCTAGCAGTTCAAAAACAAGCATATATCATGAAAAATTGAGTTTTGAAAGGACAACAATGTTTTACTATAAACAATCCATTTAAATTACAGAGGCTATAAATAAGCACTTTCAAGTTGGCATATGAATCAAGGCAAGTACCTCTTTCAAATACCAATTATGAGAGAAATTGAATACAAAAGTTGACATAATGATTCTTCTGGGGGATTCAAATGCCACATAAAAAGGAATATGAGATCCCCAAAACAAGATGATACACAGAAGCATAGTACAGGAGTTGTAAAAAGAGATGAATTTCTCTAAACCAGAGCTCAGATGACTTTAGTAGGTCAAATGGTATCACTGGAATATACTTTTGAAATGAAACAATTTTTTTCTTTTTTTATTTTAAAGAGGAAAACCCAATAAAAACAATGATACAGAGTTTCAAAACAAGCTAATAGGAAATTAACAGTGGTTAATATATTGTGTATTGTTATCTTCAAAGTAGTTCCTCAGACTACAAGATATAGGCATGCAAAGTTGATCAAACAATATAAGCACATAGTATTCTTCTCAATGAATTAATAGAAATTAGCTAACTTGTACATATATTTTTTCCTTTTCCCCAAAGGTTTTAAAAGCATATATAAAATAATCAAGGATAAAAAAGTGGTAGATAATTACAAGGACTTAGGAGATGATGCAAAACACATGAGTCATTTTTATAAAAATTGGTTGGAAAGTAATGATCCAGGAATGATACATCTACCATACTCCAAACACTACAGAATGACCTTGTACCTCTGAGAAAATTGGGACAGGAAAAATAAGATAAGCGAACACTCTACTGCCATAAAAAAATCAAACAGTATATGAACAGCTTCAAATCTTTATCAAGGATAAGACAGTACTGTATATACAAAAAAAGGAATAAAAACCCGAAGAAATAAAAAGTACTTTGGTAATTGCAATTGGGGTATAGCTTGTGGTTTTACCATGAAAACTTTCATTGATTCAAGATTTTAAATTAACTGAACCTTTTGATCAACGGTATATTAATACTATTTCTCTATAGTGAATACTTAGTATTAGACAATACTTTTGTGATATAAATAACTATATATTACAATTTCAAATAATTTTATAATAACTTGTTTGGCCACATCATAGAGGCACACCCTAGGCTATTTCCAGTACTCTAAGGGGTTTTGGGCTTCTTAGATCATTGATGCTGATCTAGAGGTGGCCAGGTCACTCTCTCCCCCTTCTGTTGATTCTATGCCTACTATAGATTACTTATTAAGAGCGGGTTACTGGCATAGAGCCAGCCTTGTCTCAGACCTTAGGAAAAGAAGCATCCTTGATTACAGAGCAGACAGAAACATATCCAATTCTGCTTTTTTCTTTATATCCTGCAAAGAGGCCACTAAGAATTAGGTGTTAAGAGTGTTTATCCAGTTTTATTTAGGAGAGGCTTGAGGGTATGCTTCAGTAGTCAGAGTCAACTCTAGAATTCAGCATGTTCCTTCTATTGTTTTATCATTTATCTGCAAGGAAATGTAAACTTTAGTTTTACTTTTGACTTGCTCCAAGGGGTAAACCAAAAAATAGGATTATTTCTGATTAATAGCAGAAGCTGTTTCCAACTCAAATATACAGGTCTTAATCCAAGAGTCAGGAACTGTTCATACCAATAAGAGATTTTAAAGGGAAAATAAACGACTTACTTTCTTCCTTCTTGCTAATAATGGCAGGCAGCGTGTAAATCTAAAAAACAAAGGATGTCTATCAGTTACTTTCGGTAATGGTCCAGCACAGAACTGGCAAGGCGATGTTTGTAAAGTAAACACAGAGGCCTGCCTTGACTTCAAGGTCTCACAATCACTGTGTCCACAGCACCATTGTTTACCTTGCCTACCGACTCCTTTCTTGTGCCTAGGCCTACCTTGCCTCCTGTTTGTTCCTATTCCTGGCAATTGTACCCTGGCCAAATTTCTCCCTTCCCATTTGCTTTAAGCATCTCATTCTCTTCCTCCACATGATACATAATATACCTCCTTAGGAAGTGTTGCACAATGGATTTCACTTGATTGCTCCTTTCTCAAATTATCTACTTCATGTTTTGTTTCCAAATGTACATATTCCTAACTTGTACCTTGCTGAGCTAACAAATTGTCCTTAAAATTTGCTCTGGGTCAAGACTTCTTAATCATTTATGGTGAAAAGCTAGGGTTTTTTTTTTTTTTTTTAAACTTGTCATTCGTTGGCATTTTATAAAACACAGTAAGATTGAAATAGAAAATAATAAAAAAAATAGATGCAGAGCCCCAATGTTTTATTATTAAATATATCAGATTTACCAAGTGATTAGAAACTGCTGAAAGGGTAATCATAACTGCTGTCCATAGCTTCTCGTGCGCTGTAGTGGAGTCTGAGGGAGGGCCTCAGATTTGCTCACTGTGGGTCACACTGCTGTCACACAGCCGTGGTGCTGGAGGTTGTGCAGAGGCTCTCTGTACCTAAGGGAGGTTCTCAGCAAGGAGGCTGCACACTCTGGTCACAGGCACACAGCGGCCCTCTCTGATCTAGTAACTGTGTCAATCAAGTAAACAGTAATGAACTATTCCTCCCCAAGATTAGTAAGTAAATTATCATTTCAACATCAAAATAACTATTAGCAAATGAGGAAGGAAAAACAGCACACCAGAGAGTTTTATCAAATTAGACCGTCTCACATAAAGGGGTCCAGACTAGAGGATCAGTGCATACCCTGAACCCTGTTCATTACTCTTCACAATCTCTAGCACAGGTCTTGCAAAAACTGAGCGTGCATTAATCATTAACTGAACAAAATGATACAAAGTGTGCAGTCAGCTAGTGATCATAAGATTTTAAAAAGTAATTTTAGAGTTTTAGTGTTTAGTCCTGGAAAACTAAATTTAAAAAATGATAATATGTGTCAGAGACTAAGATAACACTAGGCAAACAGTACAAGATACAGAGATGTACTCCTCTGATTATTTTAATATTTTCAATTATACTACAGTCACATGACAAAAATTTCAGATGTACTTTGTAATCTTTAGAATAATATGTAAATTATGCAATGTGTCACATGCTTACCGGTTCCTTCCCATCCATGGCTTCAAGCCACAGTTTCCTATTAGCTTCAGAGAAGGCTTGCAATGTGATGATCCCATGCCTACCGAAACCAAACATTTTACATATTAAATTCATTCCAGCAATGTCTTTAAATGTGTACTAATTTTTAAGTTCTTGTTAACTATAAAGGTAAAATTTGAAGAAAAAGAAGACAAAAAAAGTATAAATTAGAAAAATAAAAAATTTGACCTATAAGTATCTTTCAGAAAAATCACTGTGGACACACACATGAATGTTTATAATTCTAATGATCATGAGTAATAAGATCATTATGTGCTTGAGGTACCAGACTATAAGAAAAAGCTAGCTTCAAACTATGTCTTCTGAAATGACCAAAAAGAATGATACAAATATATTCACAAAATTTAAAGCTTTCTAAACCTTCCACAAAAGATTGTTCTGATTCTGATTTGGTATAATACAATCAACTAAATACAATTATGATGAGTAAACAGCCATGTGGGAAGTCTCACACCACGATTAATCATATTAAGCAAACAATAAAGGAAGAGAAGGGAAAGAGGATGAAAATGCATTTAAAATGTGACACATAAATGTACCAATTTCCCCCCAGGAATGTGAACATTTGTGCTATACACATGTACTAATAAACTAAACTAAAAATTAAATAAAATGAAATATATCATTGGAATGATAGGAATAGAAAAATGTTCATAGAGGTAATTTGATGTTGGAGATTTAAGACACGTGTAATAGCATCAATAACACAATTATAATGACAGGCTACTTGCTGGCTGTTCACGTTTATTTCATACATGTGTTGGGCACTGATAATTACTAATGTGTCTTTCATTATCTCAATCCTCATGATAACTCTCAGAAGTAGGTAGTTTCTCCACGGGTGACATAACAAAAGCACAGGAGTTTGCTAGGCATAGTGGTGCATGCCTGTAATCTCAGCAAAAAGGAGGCTAATGCAGGAGGATGCCCATGAGTTTCAGGTCAGCTTAGGCTATATAAGTGAGTTTAAAGTCAGTCTGCACTACTTAGTAAGACCCTGTCTTTAAAAAAAAAAAAAAAAGCTTTGGGTTCCTTCTTTATAATAATTTCACCTAACATACTAATTTATATGGTTTATGGATAGTTCAGATTCTTCTTTGAGGTTATGTTTTGCTAGTTTTCTGTATATCTTTTTTAAAAAAATCATACAATGTAGGAAATGAAGTAAACATGTATACTGTTTTCAAAAAGAGTAAAAACACTTGTGTGTTATTTTATGCTTAAATCTAGACATAGAAACTGAAACAGTTTAACATAAAAATACAAAGTGAGAGGAAAAGCTCAAACCTTTCAACTACTTCAATGTCAAAGCAGAATCGTTTGTCAATTGAATCTGTCTTTCGTCGGATACAAGATTTTAACTTAAACATTTCTGGTGAGCTAGTAACAAGGCCATTCTGAAATCAGAGGAGAGCATATTAATATGATGAGTGAACTGATATATACTCCATACATGTTTTAAAGCTGTCAATATTTTAAGTTATACATGAAGGTCACAATTCTATCTTTTTAAAAAAGTCTCTCTAACATTAGCTGAACTATTATATCAAACCATTGATTAATTAATATCATAGGTTTTAGTTCAAAGAATTTTATAACAAACTTGTCTAGTGCTTATTAATGCATTTAGTTATAATGTTGTCATACTTCACAAATCCTTACAACTTCAGATTTTGAGAAGTTATGAAATTATGAAATTACTGTAATATTACAATTAGATACCAAATACTTGTTAGGATGTAACATAGTTGCTGTTAATCAAAACTTTATAGATTGCTAGGAGATTATCATGTTAGTGTGTCTTTGTATTAGTGCTTTATAATATCAAATGATAGCTATCGAAGTCACCAAAGAGCTACGAAAATAATGAGTTCTAGTATATATTTAATATACTGCTATGCTTAGCACACTAGGTGATTAGTTTGGTGCTAACCAACTGCTGTTAGCCAATTAAAACTAAAACTCTTTAGACAAAATGGAATCTAGGCTCAATTTACAGGATTTCTCTTTTATATGTGAAACGTCATTCTATTCCAATGGGCAAATTTATCCAATGCTTGAATAATTTTGTTTTGTTACAAATCTCATATATTTAGTAACAAAACTTTGACTTGGTTTATTTATATCATCAACTCCCTGTCATGTATGTTGCCTTTCTGGCAATTACTATTCTAAAAAACAGAAACTGGAAGCGTTTAACAGCGTTTACGAACTTCCCATAGAGGTAGCAATCTATTTTTTTTTTTTCTGGTATGTTTTCCTTTATTTTATGTCTTTTGGTTTGAATTATTTGACTCTGATGAATGCCCAAGCACAATAAGTTTCAGCTGGCATATCTGAATATGTGTCTAACTTTGATCAACCAATACCTCTGCGATGATCTATACTAGAAATTAGTTGTGTGAGTCACTTACTATTAGAAATGTATTTCTAGATCTGTTAAAATAAGGTGAGACTAATTATCTCTAAGATAATTCCCAGGATTCTTATATCAAGCTTTAACAATCCAATTCACAAATGAAATCATTTGCCACACTCACATCTTAACTCACAAAAAAAGTACAGTGCATTTTCATTGAAGCTCTCAGCAGCATTTCCTCAAATAGTGTACACTGGATCGTGTACTGTTGACTAGCCATGCAAGACGGTACCTGATTTACTTTTGGAGCAAGTGAGCATTGACTGGTTTCTTCTGAGAAACTTGCTGGCCAGCATTTTGGTAAACAATACAGTGCAGAAGAGGCAAAGGCAGACAAGGGCAACTGCAGAGCCTGACACAGGCCACTGGGGAAGGATGCAGAAAGCCCAAGTCCTGTACAGCCACCGACAGTCCACACTGTAGTGTTAGCCAGATCCCAGTACAGACTAATAACTCTGTGGCTTGGGATGGGGATGACACCTCCACAGTGTTTGGAAGGGTTCTACATGTAACTCAACTGCTTATATTATGGCCAGTTTAAAGGAAAACCCTGACCAGTCTTTTTAAGTCAGCAAGGTCACTAAAATGAGAGAAAACTTTTTCAATTTTTAAGAACTCATTCATGTTATTAGAAAGAAAGTAGATGGGATATCCTGTTTTACTTCCATTACTTAATAATAAGTTTAGTATTTGTTTTTTAAAAAACAACCAACCAGAACTCACTCACCATTTTCCCACTGGATTTCATTTCTGAAACACTCATTGTAAATGTTTTACTTCCTTTATCATATGTACAGTAATGTTTAATCCATGTGAAACCAAGTGGTCCTAATAAGGAAACAAAAACATTTCTGGAGTTAATAAATAAATGCGTTGTATCTAAGATTTCATACCATTACACAGCTGAGTACCTCCACATATCATGTTAGTTTGGAACATTTACTGAGATCAAGGCTAGATGAAGGACAGTAGCAGTCGATGCAGTGCCTTAGAATCAAACAACTTGACTTTATTTGTGACTCCCACTGACTGTAAGTTCATGAACTGGTTTAGACCTGATCGTCAGCTGTTAGCTGTAAAAGTGGTTCCAGTCGGTCTTTCACATCTGCAGGTTCTGGACCCAAATACTCAATCAGCCATGGATTCAAAATATTTGAGAGAAAATTTGTACCAATACTAAACTTTTTTTCCCATTATTTCCTAAGCAATATAGTATAACCATTATTTATATCACATTTACATTGTGTTATAATCAATTGAGAGATGATCTACAGTATGTAAGGGGACACTCATAGGTTACATCAAATGTTTTGGCTTCAACATTTATGAGACTTCAACATCTATGGACTTTGGTACCTACAGATGCTGAGACAAGTACCTGTTTGTACTCCACAGAGGTAGGAAGGATGAGAAAAAGTGACAGGTATTTAAAATGATACTCTTACAGCTATAGTTGTTCTTTACTTTTAAACCTATTGAAATTTCTGCTAAAAATCTTCCTGTGCATTTTACTCCTTTGTTCAAAGCCCCCCAGTGGCTTCCTACATTATTGCAGTAAAATGGAAGAGCAAGCTGGCATGTGATGCACACCTATAATCCCAGCACTCTGTGAAGTTAAAACTAAAGGACCCAAAGTTCAAGACTAGCTTGGGTAACTTCACTTTGTGAGACCTTATCAAAAAAAAAAAATAATAATAATAACAATAATGATAAAGGAAGGGCTGGAGATGCAGCTCAGTGTGAAGTCCTTGGGTTCAATCCTCAAGAGTATTTTTAAAAAGTGTATTATCCACTAGATACTGCATGATCTGGCCTAGATCTCTGCCTTTCTCTTGCCTCACAATCTATTGCATTCTGCATTGCACATTGTGCTCAGGCCACACTTTTGCTGGCCCCATCAGAAGACACTTGCACTTACTGTTCCCCCAGCCAGAACTGCTTTTGCTTTAGATATCTGTAGGACTTGCATGGTCCTTTTTTTCAAGTCTTTTACTAAATGCCACCTCAATAATATAGACTCCTCTCGGACAATATCTAACACATCAACACCTTCACCTTGACATTTCCAATCTGTTTCTCCTGAGCAGTTATAACTATCTAATGTGATGAATTTTACTAATTTATCTTATGTATTGTCTGTCTTTGGCATGAGACTTTATGGCTTCATTACAGCAGGAACGTAAGATATTTAGTTGATTAGAATATGCTTTATCCTTAGAATATGGCCAGTCATACAACTCATACTCAATTAATATATGGCAAACATATCATTCATCTTGCTTTATGATTTTACTGACCTTGCAATTATATCCTCTTACCACTAATCTGAAACAAATTCAAATTACTCCCTTAAAGATAAAAAAAAAAAAAGACTGGCTATTAAAAAACCCTTGCACATATTTACTTTCTTTTTCCCCATAAATACTGTGCAACCTTTCCCACAGCACACCATGTGGTCACCCAGTATTCTCCTTCAGGAACTGGACACTGCAGCTTCACCAGCAGGCTACATCTTCAGTTCAGTTTTTGCATGACCAAAGTAAAAGACCTTTACTCTGGGAAGCCAAATGTCCTGAACCCAATTGCTAGAGTGGGCTCAGCGAGTTGAAATTTGAGCTCATTTCTATAAAGCTTCTTCACCTAAGGACCCATCTGCTTAACACCTAGATTTCTCTAGCAAGAACTATGCACAATGTTATTGCTGGCTTGATTTCAAAATCATATATTTAAAAGCAAGAAACTGAAATGTAAAGAAGCGTCTCTTGAGAAAAGTGTTTCATGAGCCATTTGAATTATTTTTCTTTAACAATAGTGCCATTGGTGTTGAGTTTAACGTTAGTACTAAGCCACTCCAGGTTTTAAAATTATATACTTTAAAAGCCATATACTTTAAAATCAGAAAGGATTATTGCAATTAACCTCAGTTCTTTTTGGGAGCCATTTCACAGTATAATACTTAACAATACTTGTTGATAAGTCTTTTATTGTAATGTGAACATACTTAAAGGCTTAGAGCTGATTAGTGGAAAAGAGCAGGATGGAAATCACAGTAACTTTAGGATTTAGCTATTGATTTATGAAGCATCATTAGTATAACTTTAAAATAGAGCAACTTCAATGCCTGGACTACATATTAGACCTAAGATGTGTTGTCCTGCCTCCATCTCAAGTTCAAAACCTCCTGCATTTAATCACCAAGTTTACTGAACACACATACAGCTCTCTTTAAAGTTCTCTGGCAGTAGGCCAGGGCAGATGTTGTTGGACAAGTAATTCTTAAGTCCCTAAAAGTGTCTGGGAAAATAAAATTTACTGCAACTTTCAAGTTGCAAAATAAGAATTTAATTACCTTACCTAGTAATCATCTAAGGTTGGTATGATGAATATTCGAGGAGTAGAAAAGGAATTAACATTTACTGAATACTTACTAAGTGCTTACATTTAATATAAGAACCTTTTAAGTCAGACATGAGACTATTTTACATACAAGAAAACTGAGTCTACCAGCTGCAGATGGCAGTGCTTTTATCAATAGTGCATGTGATTATGTTAAGTTTTTTTTAGAGGACAAATGCTCGAGTTGTTTTAAGAATTGAGTTAAATGTACATTGCTCTGAACAGTAAGGATCATGGTAAGCACAATATTATTTTTATTTCTACCACTAAAATTAGAGATATTTCATACACAATATTTCTAATTCATGTAATATCATTAACAGATAAGTATAAATATCTGTCTTTTATGAATTAAGAGACTGAGCTCTGAAAACATCAAGAATCACACAATAAGTGACATACATGGAAATGAAACAGAGTTTTGACTCAAACTCATGCCCTTTCAGGTTACTGTCTACTACAATGTGACTTGAGGCACGGCTAGAGATGGGTGACATGGACACCTTGTGTCTGGGTAAAATGAAGCTGTGTGTCTAAGCTGCAGTGCCCTGCTTCTACCTCATCACATTTATCACTATTTCACTCAAGGTACAGCCCTGAGATTTAGTACTGATCACTGGTTGACAACTGTTTATCTAATGCCTTCACCTACAGAAGAAAACCTGAAACCAAATTCTTTATCTCATTTTCTGGTCCTCACAAAACTTGCTCAATGATAACAAACATATAATTAATATATTTTAGTGAACTGAATGGTCAAATTTTCCTGTTATAAATGCTTTTGAAGATTCCAAGTTGGAAGAGGCTTTGAATATTTGTCCCACTTCTAAAAATAATTCTCAAGCATGTAAACACAATTTTCTTTTTAAATCCTTCAGCAAGGGGAGAGGAGGAGGATAGACGATGGGAAAAGACAGAGGGAGGGATTTTAATGGGGCAAGCGAGAACTTTTGAAGGTGATTATTAGGTTGCATTGTGATGATGGTTGCAGAGGTATACACATATGTCAAATTATTAAACTATAAGTTTTTAAACTGATGTAATTTATTTTATGCTAATTTGGATTTGCAAAGAGTACGCTGGCCAAGGCAGATGGTAATGACAGAGAAAATTCTGAAACCCAAATCACCTGGGCCAGTGTCCTCCTTGCTATCTAGATACAGGGTAATAACTGTTGGCAGAATCTGATGATTGAATTGTTATCTGCTGGCATACTGCTCTCCAACAATTGAGCATCATTTAGGCCTCTTGAATGCAAAATTTATTCATGTTTTGGTGTCTGTGTAACATATACATCAAGAATTTTCACAGCCAAGTCTGTATCTGTGGGCTTTCTGATCATAATCCCTTAGAATACATTATTTCTCCAAATGAAGAAATTTCATTACTATTTTGTCACTGACATGGAGACTTCAGAACAGTGCTATTCTATGTGGTTTGTAAGCTTCAATGTGTGAGAAAAGTACAGAAAACAAGAACAAGCATTTCAAATTTGTAGCAATTCAACAAAGCCACAAAATCACATGACTCTATTCTACAAAGGCACTGATATAAAAACAACATGTTGGACTGATCTAAAAACAGTGTCTTGACCATAAAACAGTATGAAAAGTTTTTATAGTATATCTTATTTAAATAAAGTTAAATTAGTAAAAATCTTCAAACTGCTTCTACTTAATGACAGCTAAGAGGCAAAAACGGCACTAGCTTTATATGCCTGACTGGCTTTTTATTAATTTTTTGAGGAAAAATTTTTTAACATGAGGCTATTATGATAGTGTTCTATTGGGTCTGGTATTAATTTTCTAAACCAAGGAAGTAAAGAGTGTCAATGTGACATGACATGATTGCCAATTTTCATCCTGAAAACTGGCAGAACACAAAATTAAATGAAATAATGCTGCTGGAGGAAAAAAAAAAAAACTATTATTATAGTTGCCAGAATGATTCATCTTCATAAAGGCTCTGATTTTCAATTTTCCATGAAGCTTTAAATTGAGTTATCACAATTAAATTCTAAAGCTGAACTGAGGCTACATAATGTCAGCAAAGATGGCAAATTCCAAGTTCAGCAACATAGTACAAGCTTACACTACCTGATACCAAAACTGGAAAAAAATTCCCTACTTTGGAAGTGGTGGTCATGGTAATGGCGGGAAAGCAGACTATTCTGAATATGGTAACGCTGTAAGGTATGTCAGTCTTCCTAAGTGAAGAAAATAGTAACAACCAAGCCATATCTAAAAGAGGCAGCATGTTATGTTCTAATCATCACTACAGACATGAATTGTGCCTTTTGACTCACGTTTCTCTTGGACGTAAAGGTAGCCTTCCATAGTCCATTGGCTGGGTGGTCTGTAATCTTGGTTGGCTGATTTCATCCTCTGCATTAACCGCTCTACCTCTTGTCGTGTACTTTCAAAATTATTCCTTGTCTTGAGTAGATAGAAACAAGAATTTCATTCACCATTTCCTACCAAGTTTAAAGACCTTCCCACTGAAGTTTCAAAAGCACAAATGGCATGAAGGGTGGTTCTGATTCTTTTGGCACTATTAAACATATTTGTGATGCTATGATGGTAAGTCTTTAATCTAAGTTTGAATTATTTTAGTGAAAACTTCCTTGAATGAATTTCTGTATTTTTTTCTCCTTTGAAGGTCTTTGTGTTGTATTTATGTGTGAATGTACAAAAGGAAGGAAGGCTTTCTTATTTTCATACTACTAAAAATTAAAACTATGTAAGATTCATTAAATGTAGTTTTGAGTTCTCTAACATCTAATGTAAAAAGGAGATACATTTGACTTAAATTCTTTTCAGAGGGAAAAAATGATGCTTTCTGATATAAGTGACACTACGAAAATCAAGGAAATAATTTCCCATCTTTGTTTCAAAAGCTTTTTTAAAAAAATATCACATAGTTTGATTTTCAGAAATAACAAAATGATTACTAAAATTGATTCATAAAAATGAATACAGGTCTAAGTTCTAACTTCTTTTCCAAGAAATGGTTTACACATTTAAGAGCAAGTTTATTTAAGCTAGAGAAATTGTTATGACACACCTTTTTTGTTCAAATCACATTATCTTACACAATACTGTACATGTCTAAAAATATAAAAATCATGATCTTGTTATGGCCCATAATACAAGAACTGAATCTCAAGGCACGTTAAATTTTCCTGTGACTTTTTTTTTTTCTGCTATTTTTCTCTTTCAAACACAAGAATTTTGCCAGGGATCTAGCTCAGCAGTGCAGTGCCTGCCTGGCAAGTGTGAAGTCTTGAGTTCAATGTCCAGCGCGTGTGGATGCGCGCGCGCGCGCGCGCGCACACACACACACACACCCCACAAGGATTCAAGTTTTATTTTCCAATTTCTTCCTCTTTCTCCATTCCTGAATTCCAGGAATCTAAACATAATTGCATTTAACATGGAAATAAAAATACATTGGCTCTTAAAATTTTCCTACTTAATATTCCTTTTAATATTTAATTCTAAGTGAATTTCATGTTGAAAAACAATGGAAATGAATTAAGGGTAAGACTGATTTTGCTGCAAAACCTAAGTTAAATGAAAGCTAAAACTCAACACTCAAGTAGAATAAAACCAGGGCATATTTTTTTACGGGAAACTCCAACTTTGCATTTTATTACTGAACATCTCTATAATGACAAGAATCAGATGACCTGAGAAACACGTTATTTAATAAAATTAACTGAAGGTTTCTTAAATTATTTTGGTTAAATTATTAGACACTCAGGATTTCAGTTATAGAAAAAAATGCAGGAATTACAATTTATCCTCAGTCAGGTTTAGCAATATGGAAATGGCCGAAGATATTTTCCTCCTATAATGTAAGTGTAGCTCATTAACTGAAAAATCAAGGATTGTTAAACTAGGAAACAGTGTGATCAGACAACTTAACAAAATAAACCTGGTAAGACAGATAAGTTCTTTGGAAATAATTCCCATTTATGCTTTAAAGCAGTTTACTTTGAATGTTTCAAAACCACATTCAAATCCTATTATCTGATAATAAATACCACATATTTTATAAAATATTTCAGAAAGAGATATCTTAGAGTGTTAAAATATACTACTATCATTTAACAAACATAGAAACTTAATTCTATGAACAAAGAGGACTTGCCTTGGGCCAATGAGTATTTTTTCAGCTTTGAGGTATAATTGACAAATATGAGTTATATATAGTTAGGACATACAACACGATGCTTTACTACATATACACATTGTAAATGATTCCCAGAATTATAGTAATCAGCATATCCATGACCATATTTGTATGTGCTATGAAACAGGTCTTAAACATGTCCCCAGAACCTCATGTGTTTAGAAGGTGACTGGATCACAGGGGTACTGCACTTGTCAGCTGACTCATTCACTGATGAGTTCAGCAGCTACCTGTGCTGCTGTGGCTGGGACCTGGTCAGAGGAGGTCAGTTCCTGGCATCCTGATTTGGAAGGGTACATTCTTACTTCTGGGTCGTCTTCCCTCCTTTCTCTTGGTTTCCTGGCTGCCAGAGAATGAGAAGTGTCCTTTTCAAGGCCTTTCTACAAGCCATCCTCTCCTGGAGGCAGGTGACTTTGGGAGGAATTCGCTTTAAACTGTGAGACAAATAAACTCCTGCTTTAAGCTGTGGGAATTGGTCCCAATGGTGAGAATATAACAAATATATAGCGTGTGTGTGGTTTATTTAGTTCTACACTCTTAGTAAATTTCTAACTTCAAAGAATACAGTGTAAAGCTATTACTAACTATAGTCATCTATACAAGTGATGTCTGGAGTTTATTCATCCTTATATCACTCAGTAAACTAGTGACAAGACCAAAAAAAAGGCAAACATTTTCAAATTCCGAGGTGTCTACACATAAAGCAACATAAAATTTGCTAGTATAAACTGTTTTAATATAAGCTTAGTGGGCTTCTTGGGGGTTTACTTCTAGATAGCATTTGGAAAACATATATTTATACAGTAGCTTTTCTAAATTACTGAAGTTTTACCATGCTTTGACAAGCTGTTGAAAGACTGTTAAGGTCTGACTTGGTTATGACTGAGTTCTCCTGTGGTCATTAGCTCCATTGAGGAAAGGCAGTAGAAACAGGTGTAGTCTTACATTCTGCAAGTTGAACTGTAGCTGTTGCTTATATGGTGCAAATTCCTGGGCAAGTTCGTATCCCTCATGGTAAAAAGTAAATAAACCCTGGAGGAATGACAAAAGCTGCAAAGAGAGATTTTAAAAAATGAGAACTTTTTTCCTTAAGGATTACCCTTAAATGTGAAATATTTAAATTATATTTCATTCTATTTCCTCAAACTAAAAAATTTCAAACTTTTTGCTTCACAAGGCAGACAACAGAATTATTCATACAAAACAAACCACATCACTAACTTTTATTTCTTTTTTGGTAGACAGTGCTTTAATTTTTAAATATATCACAAGCAACTGTCATACTCAACTATTCAAATACATTAAAGAAATACCTACAACAGACCACCAAAAGAGTCTAAAGACTAAAGTGAAGTAGTTTGTACTGTGGAAGAGCTTCTCTCCAAAACAGGGTGGTGACACTAGTGCAAGAATGTGCAAGACAAGTCACAGGGTAAAAACACCCAAGGGATGGAATAAAAAAATTTGAAAATAAGAAGAGTACCACAAGGTGGCAGTATTTGGTGTTAAACAGAGAACAGTTTAGCAAGAAATCAAAAAACAAGAGTTCACCACACGAAAAATATACTATAGGTCTCCAACATAGGTCTTTGCTAACAGAATTACAATAAAATTTCTTTAGAAGAAAAAAATATTACCCACAATACTCTTCTCCATCAAATTCATTTCTGCTTATATTTTTATTTATAAGTAAAACTGGCTGTTTATGGCATTATAGAGCACATGACATGTTCATATGGAGTATGCTACATCTGGAAAAGATTTTTAATTTTTAAATTTAATTCAATGAGATTTTACTCCATATTCATCCACTAATTTAATTTCTTCTACAATCTTTAATATGTCTACAATGATTTTAGAAACACAATTTGAAATCATTTTAATATGTAAATATCATCCCACCACTTCCTCTGTGGGAGGTGGGGGGGTGGGCTAAGCATTGACTGGTGTGTTATGATTTTCAATAGGTAAGTACTGGTTGTACTGAGGAACAATGACATAATGCTTCTCTTTCTATTAACAAGTTGATTTCATACAAAGTTTTGTTCATTTTGAAAAGTGAACACTTTCGAATCGTTATACTATTGTATCATAAGGATTTTTCCTCTTGTCCAACAGTACAAGAAACAGTTTAATAACATGACAAAACTATTTGCCATTTTAGAATACTACTATTTGCCATTTTAGAATACTACTGTACCCTTAAATTTTATATCAACTAATAATTACTCTCAAAACTAAATATTCCATAGATTATGCTAAAAATTATGCTCAAATGTATTTGACAGATTATCCAGTAAGACATACAGTCTACCTTAATGGAACCTATCTAACCCAAACTGGAACTTAAAATAGGATTAAAAATATTTTTAATTAAACTTTGTGTATACATATTTAGAGCTTTTCAAAGATGAAATAAACACTTTAGAAACAAATCCATAGCACTAGTGCTCTACATATCAAAACATTTATCAAGTTGTTAGTGGAGTACTGTTTCATGACTTAGCATTTAGAACTACTGTACAATTAAACTGTCTTGCTATAAACTGGATGCTATATAGAGTAGATCCTATTTTAAAATCTTGATAGGTACAAAGTTAATACAATTTACAAAGAAGACAATTTCAGAGTATCTGTGGCAAATTTTTCTACAAAACAACTAATCTATTCTGAGTGTCCAGACATTTGAAACACCTTGATGTGTCAGAAACAGGAAATAAACTATTCAAAGTTTAACCAGAACATTATTTTAAAAATCTAACAAATGTTCAGTTGATCTCCCTAGGCCATGCAGGTCTATAACATATTTTAATTGTTCTGTGCTGGCTTGATGCTCTAGAGTCCTAGAGTGATATAAACTTTCAGAAGATAAGACATATAGAGAAGATGCTGAGTACTCTTTACTGAACCCTGACTACCTGTGAGACAGTCCTCCTTATATGAAGGGCTTCTTTTAATGCTGCAGTTGTGATAAGCAGCCTGTGAGTCTCCAAACTAAAACTCTGATATGAAAGTATTTTGATACACACTATCAGAAAGCAATATTCTCCATTGAGCTTTGCTGTTAAATTCTTAATCTTATTTTTAGAAGTATGATTTTGGCATCTCCATTTTTATTCAGATTACTCTACATCCTCAGTATTTTAAGATGCAACAGCTTCAATCAAGATGAAAATAAACCTACTGGCATAATCTAGCAGGATTCAGAATCAACTTAGTAGCAAATGAAATGTTTTAAATTCATAACAAATGTTAAGCAACCACTAGGGAATGTACTACTCTACTGAAGATACATAAACATATACAAAGAACACACTTCTTTTTGTCCCATATCATCTTTGGGATCAGTTTTTGGGGAATTTAATAAAGAGCATGCATATGAAACAACTATCTCTAGATGGCAGCAGAGTTAAAGTTTTTTTTTTTTTAGGTTTGGATAAATACTCATTTATTTCATTCTTGACAAACTCCATAATGTTAAACCAATAGGACTTAATAGGACAGACTGAAAACTTAAAAACTGCATATGTCATTTTGCATATATCATTTTCTTCAGTCAAAGTGTCTGAGTAGCTAGCGTCTGAATGCTAGACAGATTAGGTTTTGATACTAAGAAGTCCTTTTTATCATTCAGAAACCTTTATACAGCACTTTAACTTTTCCAAGAGGTTTAGAATCAAATTACTGGCCCTGATCAAAATTAGTATTCTGACCAAAAGTGAAAGTTTATATAGCACTTTAAAGTAATCTTTAAAATGAGCCTATTAAAAGTCATAAAAGGAACAAATATTCATATTGAATCACCAGATAATTAACAAAATGCAGTACAGGTGTGGCACTTCCAAAAAAGGTTCAAGCTTTAAGGGGCCACAGTCGCCAGTGATACTGTACAAGGCAGAGGAAAAAGCAAGTGCTGAAAAAAAGGGCTGGAGCTGGCATGAGAGTGAGGGAAGAACTCTGCAGCTGCATACATAGCAATTCCAGACACCAGCTGCCCAAACGTGGTGGAAGAACTGGGTTGCAATCCCTAGCAAGACAGTGTGATTTATTCCTTATCCTTACCTTCTTTACTGACTGGTGACTATCAATTAATAATTTTCTTCAACTTATAAAACGCCAAGGTGGCAGAGATGTCTCAAACGCACAGGGCAAACCCTAGCTATCACACTTCAAGTGTGTGCTTGGATGGGAGACTGTACAGTCAACTTCTAGGAGACTTTGCAGTACCCTTATCAAAGCAGTAAGAAAGGCTGCCAAACAAAATTCAGTGATCACACTGAAGCTCTACAGCATACATTTCAGCCGGCAAAAAAATTAAATCATTCAGTAGTTAAAATCCTCTTTACAGCATACTTAAAAAGCTGCAGGTATAAGACAAAGATTTGACACTTTTGTCTAATATTGTAGGTGCTAGTCTAGGTGCTAGTCAGGGCAATTAGGCAAGAAAAAGAAATACAAAACTTCCAGACTGGAAAGAAAACAGTATAAACATTTAAGGCATTCCATTCAAGTAAAAATATAATATTTAGGAATTAATTTTATCAAAAGCATAAAGTCATCTATTTTGAAAGCTACAAAACATAGCCTGAAGAAAGTAAAGAAGTCATCCAAATAAATGGAAAATATTTTATACTTGTAGCCTAGAGAAACTAATGCTAAGAAGACAGTAATAATGTTCAAATTGACACAGAGATTCAAAATAATCTGTCAGAATCCCAGCTAACCTTTTGTAGTAATGGACATGCTGAGTCTAAAATTCATGTGATGTTACAAAGGACACTAATCAGTCGAAACAATTTTAACAATACAAAACTAAAAGTAAAGTAGGAAGATTCATACTTTTAGTTTCAAAACTTACTTCTAAGTAACAAGTCATCCCAGTGTGATGGCACAACAGAACAGACATATAAATCAATAAAACTGAATTGAAGGATTTACAAATTCTCATTATTTGTGGTCAACTTACTTTTGACAAAACTCTAAAAAACATACAGTAGAAAATAAAATACAATAAATCAACAAGAATAGGATAAGAAAGAAAAACAAAGCAAAGCAAAGCAAAACAAAATAAAACAAAAAACATACAGCAGAGAAATAATGGTCTTTACCAAGAAACATTCTGGGAATGTTTAACAATGAACAAGAATGAAGTTAGACTCCCCATATCACAGACAAATAGTAACTAAAAATGGATCACAGACTCAATTTTTAAAAACTATTACATACATAAAAATATTAGACTCATAGTCAATGTATTCTTATATATATCAGAAGCACAAGCAAAAACAAAATATAGACAAACTTCATCAAAATTAAAAACTTGTGTTTAATGTAAACTTATAAAGAAAATTAAAAGAAACTAACAGAATGGGATAAAATATTTATAAATTACTTATCTGATAAGGGACTTACATTTAGAATACATAATAATTTTATACCTCAATAACAGACAACTCAGTTTGAAAATAATCTGAATAGACATTTCTCTAAAAAAGACACATAAAACATTAGCAACTTGAAAAAAAACTGACTTAGTAATCATCAAAAAAATACAAATCAAAATTGGAGTAACTTTACACTCTCTAGGACAGTGTCTTAAGTCATTTCCATGAATTTAATGAGTTTGCTGAGACACAATACTCAACATCTACAACTTAAAAGAGGAGAGTTTTTGTTTTTGTTTTCTCTCATCTGCAATGGCTCAGACCATGTTTGGCTAATTCCAAGGCAAAAAAGACAGAAGAACAGCATAGTAGAGGTGAGCAGTTCACTACGTGGCTGCCAACAAACAGAAGGGAATGGTGGAAGGGCTTGGGCAGCCAAGAAATGTGTCCTTGACAGGGCAGCACATGAAACTGTGAGGGAAACCAAAAATGCAGTGAAGATACCAGGAAATTGGAGATGCCAGAAATGTAAAATATCTGCTGAGGGAAGCCATAGGCAATGAGTGAAGCCATGCAAACAGAGAGGCCATGAGGTCTGCAACTGGGTTATTCCCTAGAGATGAAGTTGCCTAAGGCCTTCGGAGTTCATGTCTTACCACAACATGC